GTGCTATTATTTATTCAGATCAAACTTCAATGGTAGGTACAGGACATTGTAACAATGATTTATTGTATAGGAATGTATAGTCGCAAGTGACGCGGTGAGGCGTAAACAGGAGAAATAACGGCCGAAAGGAAAAACAAAGATTTTATCGAAAGCGTTGTTGACAAGTGTCATGTTTACAGTAAGTGTGCAAATTTGTGTCCACCAGAAGCGATACATGCTTGACAGCGTCGGTGGAGCGATTGGCGTACACGTTCAAAGATGCCTGGTATTTCACGCACACCTGCAGCAGCTACAGATATGCGAGCGACGAGATCCTCATCTGAGTCAATTGGAAGTCTCATAAACAAGATGCTTTAGATGTCCCCATAAAAAGTAATCGAGGCTCGATAAATCGGGAGATCGGGGTGGCCAAGGGATTGGACCACCACGCCCAATCCAGCGAGCACCAAACGTGGCATTCAGGTAATTCCGTACATCAATGCTGAAGTGTGCTGGCGCCCCATCGTGCTGAAACCACATGCGGTTACGAATGGCGATCGGAACATCATGCAGCAGTTGTGGTAACACTTCTTTCAGAAAAATAAGATAGCTTCCTCCACTGAGTCGCGAGGGTAGTAAGTATGGGCCAATCAAAAAGTCGTTCACAATACCAGCCCACACATTAATACAGAAACGTTGTTGAAACACATGTTGAAACACATGTATGAGTTGCATGTGAATTATCGGTTGCCCACACACGGGAATTGTGCGCATTAAAGACACCCTTCGTAAAAATGTCGCTTCATCTGTAAATAGCACATCACCAACGAAATCCGGCTGCAACACACATTGCTGCATCACCCACAGGCAGAAGTTCACGTGGAGAGGATAATCTGCCGGATTCAATGCTTGTACTTTCTGAAAATGGAAGAGGTGTAAGCGATTTTCGTTTAACACTCTGCATACAGTCTGATGACTCACACCTACGTCACGCGCAACAGTTCTTGTGCTTGACTCGGGTCTATTAGCCACAATGTTCAAGATGCTTTCTTCCAGCCTTGGAGTGCGTACAGCTATTAATCGACCAGCTTCATGTCTGTTGACGTCGAACGCACCTGTTTCACAAAGTTGACTATGTAACCGTTGAAAAATTCTATGATCCGGCATTCGTCGATCAGGATACTCAGCGCGATACATTCGTAACGCAGCTCTGCCGTTACCATTTGCACGGCCGTACATGTAATGCATGTCTGCTTTTTCTGCATACGTAAAGTCACCCATCGTCTACGGCAGCACAATTGTGAATGGCGCTTTTCCCTACTGCGATGCATCATTTTCAACGGCGGCTAGACATCTACTGCCCTCTACCGGCAATGATACCAACCGATCACTACATTTCTCCTTCCTTTTATTTCCCCTGTTTACGCCTCACCGCGTCACTTGCGACTATGCATTCCTATGCAATAAATCATTGTTACAATGTCCTGTACCTACCATTAAAGTTTGTACCATGAATTCGGGACCACCCTGTATATATATGTGTGTGTGTGTGAGTAAATTATTAAAAATTTACAACAAAATTTAAAAAAAAATGAGTAAATAGATGTAACTACCCCCAGAATTCCAAGATATTAGCTCTTCCTCTCGATTTATAAGTATATAGTCTTCAGTTGAAAGCAAAATTTTAATGACTTCAAAAACTATATTATTGATCACATTCTTATCCAAATTTGTGCAATTTTGAATACGTTCTACTTGCTCCCTGTGCTTGAAATCTGAACCAACAGATGTTTTCAATCTCTTATATAAAAGCTGTTCACTTGATTTCTTATTCAACTTTTCATTGAATTTCAGCTCAGAATTAATAAGTTGTGTACGTTGTAAATCCACTGCAGCCTCTTCTTCCATTTCATATGATCGAGCTGTACAGACAAAGCAACTCTGAAAAATAATATTTAAAATTACAAAGCATATTTAATATAAAATCTTTTATAATTTTTTTTAATTTGAAACTTATGACAAACAGTAATTCCAAAATTACAATGAATACTCTGAAATTAAAAATAATCACAATTCAACTTTTTGACCTTATAGTATCAACTTTTTGACTAGGAATAAGAATAGGTGTCCTGTCCCTCTTTCTTCATTCACAGAGAACGTAAGATGTTTCAGGTTTATTGAGTGTTAATATCAAAAGAAACAGTAGTTTGAATCAGTTCTTCGAATTTTTTAACCATTGACTTATTTTCAACTGAAAAATTTTTATTTTAAAAATGCAAAAATGTTTAACATCTTTCTGTTTATCTGTTATGGGAAAGATTTTTTTAGAATAAATAAAATTAAACAAAATCAGGATCACTATATTAAAATGAATGGTTCGATTTGGACTTTAAAATGGGTGTTAATAACACTGAGTCTATAGAATAACCAAACTTCATGTCTCTGTCACTATAATGGATGGAATCACAGTAGATAGGATCATACTAAAGAATGTAGACTGTATTTATAATTTTATTAATTTATTTTTTAAGTGAGATAAAAAAAAAGCATTAGAAAACTCTTCAAATTTTTTTTATTGCTCTTTGAATAATATTAAAAAGGCTTATTTTAATACATAAAAAATACTTATTTACAAAGGAAAAGAATAATTTATTTTACATGAAGTTTGACCTAAAGGCTTACCATATTAATTTTGCTTTATAAATAAGTTCATAAATTTTCTATCGATTCATTATCAGTGTTAATCTTTTTTGAAGCGTTAATCAAGCCAAACACAGGTGAAACAAAAATCGCTAATGGCTGACTAAATATCCGATAGAAGACACAAACAATTAAATTTGCTATGTTTTTTAAAAAATTGCAAATATATGCAACATTTCTAGAATATATTTACAATTCGTATTTAATAAGTTTAATTTACCATTTATTAAAATTTCGTAAGCAGCAAGATATTAATTGAGAATAATTTTATCAAATTTTGTGAAGTCTCTGTTTTAAAAAATATTATCAATATAGCTGTTTTATATAATAAAGTATTTTGATTTGATTAAAAAAATTTTTTTGGGGAAGTTTTCATACTACACTTAATCATATCTTACACTGTAATCAATTTAAAAACACCAACTTACCAACAAAGTCACTAGGTGGGGCCACAACATTTAAATGATTTTGGCTAGCACTATTCAGAAGTGAAGAGGTTGTGTAGGGAATTTACAATACATCTCATATATGTAGAGCACTTATATTTATCTGCATTTAAAATTAATAACTTACCCTTTTAGTAGATGGTATTCTTAATTTATCCTTCTGTACAACAAATCCTGATATTTCACATATATTATGAATAAACTTTAAGTAGGATTGATAGCGAGAAAGACCAGCATCACAATGAGCATATTTTCCATTAAAAGTGTAATAGCAACAAGGCATTAAAAATATCTTCATCGAATAACTAGATCTAAACGAAAATAATGAACTATTAAAAACTTATGTTTAATTAACAAATTAAATTTTTGATAAACAATTTTAGAAACTAATTTAGAAAGAAACACATTTAGAAAAAAAAATTAATTGTTTGGAAGAGTAAAATAAATTTAATTATTAAAAACTATGGCCATTGCATGAGTTATGAATTTCTGTAATAACAAAATTTGTTTTTTTTTGTTTATCAACCCAAACTAACTTCTGTCACTAGCATATTTTCTCATTTTATGTTCCAAGAATGCTAATTAACTGTAAGAAAAATTTTTAGGTCCATTTGTACTACTATTTTATATAGGAGTTCATTCTTTTTAAGTTGAAGTCAATGTTAGAAGGATACGAAAAATTTTTTTTGGGTCAGAAATCCACCATGTGGATGACATAGTTGGATGTGGATGTTTAGAGAATTTTTTAAAATTTACAAAATCCAGGAGAATTTTAATTAAACCAGTAGACTAGGAGAAACTGGGAAAATCCAGTAGGTTTAGTAGAATTGCACTTGAATAAAATATAAAATAACATCTGTTATAAGATGAAATTTATAAATAATTTTAATCATATACAGTTAACCTTCAATAACAGCAACCCATTTATTATAAACATAAAAACTCATACATAAAGTCCCTCTTGCTATTTCTCAGACATAATGTTTTTTAAATACTCGTGAGAACATTTGAACCAAGTCACTTAGTTTGAAATAGTGACTGAAAATTAGATAAACTTCTCTATAAGTTTTGAGAAAATATCTTCAAAAACAAGTGTTACAAAATTTGGTGCTTTCAAAACAAAACGGTTCTATTTACAATCACTTATATGTAAGTGAAATTTCAAAAGAAATATTTTAAACCAGTATTCTTTTGATTTTAATGCAATTCAAACATGTATCTCAAATTCATTTTAAGACCTCTAGGTTTCTATTCTATAATCTAAAATTTTGTAAAATATAGATAGCACTGGGGTTAAATTTTGTTGCATTTATACAAATGCTTGATCTTGCCTAATTCGGGAATGAGGACTTCAAATCTAAAATTAGTTTTACTCCTAAAGCCACAGATTATTTTTAAATGACATTTTTAGCCTATTTTTTGTTGAAATGTACAAGTTTAAAAACATTATATAAAACAAAAAATTCCGTAAATGTTGCTACAAACTTCTAAGCAGGTTAGGGTACATCATCAGGATTAAAACTGTATAAGGAGCCATGTCTGGAGATGTCATCGTACATGACTGGGGACGTTTCCCTGTTAGACACAGTTTAGAAGTACAAGAAGAAACAGTTCATAATAGGGAAGCATCTCTAGTGGTATTTCATGACATTTCTGAACATGGGTTTCTATTCAATTCTAATCCTGATGATGTGCCCTGACTCCTCTAGAAGTTTGTTGCAAATTTACACTACCCCTTGTTATGTATAATGTTTTTAAACTTGCACATTTTGACAAAAAATAGACCAAAAATATTTTTAAAAAACTGTAGTCGGAGAAAAGAATTGCAGATTTGAAATCAGCAATACAAAATTATAGAAGATTTGTTCAAAAATCTCATCTTACATAAAAAAAAAATTCCTCTGTGTAATTAAAAAAGAAAATTTCACTGTCATACAAGAGCTTTGGCCCACCCAGGGCTGCCATGCTATTGATTGATGCATTCATTCTTAATCTTTGTAAATTCCTTTTCAAAGGGCACAATAAATTTATGAAGCACACTTTAATTTGTTAGAAAATTTTATTCTGCATTTTTGTGTCAGGTTTATTTGCTTGGATGGTTTATTTTTTAATTAAAGCATGTGGTAATCAAACTCTCTTAGATTTTGTTTTTGTTGAGATTTACTAGTTCTCTGGACATATCAAAGTAAATAAAATGGTTACTCGCAATACATTATATTTAACCTTTTGAGTTATCATAAATTATTTTATTTATTTATTTTTTTTAAAGTATAGCACAATTTGAGCAGTATTAGTTGCCAGCATTTATTAGCAATAAGTGATTATTTACACTATTTAATTGCACCCAAGACAAAGTGACCTCAGATTATAAAATCCATTTTTCATTTGGATGGCAGGTTTATATAAGATTAAATTCAAAATTGCGTCATTCAATTTATCAGAATTAAAAAAAAAAACCTATAAGATGTATTTGATTTAATAAGAATTATAAAGCTATTCACCTAGCAGCAATTACAGGTATCCATGGGGTTAACTCATCAGGATGGTTTCCAATAATCCAATCATATTCTAAAAAATGTTGATTTGGATCCACTGTCATTTCCTGTAAATGAAAAGATTATAATGCAATTTTATGAAATTCACAAGAAAAATGGAATAAATAAGTACTTGCTATATATCTATAATTAAAACAAATAATTTACTTTTATAAAGGCAATCAAAAAAAAAAGAAATTAGAATATTTTCATGAGTTTGAGTTATTTTATTTTTAAACATGACTTACACATTTTAACCCATTTGATTATTATTAAAAATAATGTCTTTATTACAAAGGTTTGAAAATTTCAATTACTTGAATCCTTCCTATATTCCAGATAGTTTGGCTTTCACTGCATATTACTGAACGAATATTTAATGCAAAATATTTTCACATGAGCTACTGAAATTTAATATAGTAGCCATTATTCCTTTTTGTTCATTGATAAGCTTAGATCTACAAGAGGATTTTGAAGCAATCTGTGCCAGGTAAAGAAAAACAAATTACAGTAAATTTTGCATTAGAGTTAAACATAAAACATGACATGTTTAGAACGGAAGAAAATTTGTTTGAAAATGGAAACAACTGTATTTTAAGGCATATACCATTTTTTTTTATGACTTTACTACAACACAAAAATTGTCTAGAATGTACTGTAAGTGTCATCTTTGTCCAGACATTACGTCACTTTACTTATAAATTTGTATGCTTGAGAAATTTTATTGATTACTTAGAAAATATATAATTTGAACTTAAATTGTAGTTTATTTCAAAATTCACTTGCTGTTATATGTTATAAACCAGCAAACAGACCCCGGTTGTGATTTCTTCAGACTCAAAAATTAAATAGAGTGAAAGCATGCTACATGTAAAACAAAAAAATCTTACAAACAATTTGTTTCTGGATTCAAAAGCATCCCATATTTTTCTTCTTCTCAGATCTATTCCAAGTCCATCGTACTGTAAAAAAAATTAGAAATTTACTAATGTTACAAATCTATGTTATAAAAACATCAAAAAGTAGTAATAATTTTCTCTGCAATCACTCAAAACATGAATAAGTACTTCCAAAATCATAATTTAGTTTATTTTTAAGTGAAAAAAAATAAAGTTTCTAAAATCTTATAAAGTGAAAGAGAGTTACCCCTTCAGAGGATAATATATCAACCAGAAGTCCATTGCCACAACCTAAGTCAAGAAATGTTTGTTTCTTCTCTGAACCATTTCTTATCCTTTCTTCTTCCCACAAAGTCTTTAGGATATGAAAAAAAAAAGATAAATATTTAAATGCATAAAATTAAAAATGTACAAACTGTAAGATTTATTAAGTAAATGAAACAGCCTTATCAGAAGTTAAGACTTTAAAGACAGAATACATAAGGCAACATATTTTTTTAGCACATTGCAAGATAAAAGTGACCAAATCAATAATTGGCCAAAAAGAGGTAATTACTAAAGTCATTTAAACACCCATTTTTTTTCTGGAAAAAAGCCTAAATTAATATAAATAGCAGTACACCTAAGCATATTGTTTAGGACTTTTCTTTTCCTAAAAAGATAAAAAGGCTTTTAAGCAACTTATGCATATTATCTTATTTTTGCAGATTATATTCTTGGTCACCTTTGAGAGCATACAAACATTATTTCATGATTAAAAAAATCTGGTATATGTTAAAAATTTGAAAAGCTAAATTGGTCACATTTTTATTCAAAACATATCCGTTATCTCTGACATTATCAATAACTATTGCTGCTTTTAAAAGAGGTTTTGCAACTCAAAATAGAATATAAAAAAAAAAAAAACAAGCTTTACATAGTGATAAGCATTTAGACGACTTTTCCAGATTGTCTCATGAAAGATTTGTAACATTTCATTGATCAACAGAAACTGATCTTACTGATCAAACTAGTTTTGCATACTTTTATTCTGCCAACCAGGTGGCCGAGTGGTTAGCGTGATTGACTGCGGGTTCGAATCCTGCCCAGGGCATGGAAGTTTTTTTCTCTCTCTGTGTTCTATGTCCTCCCTCCTTTGTGTAAATGTGATCCGCTCTATAAACGGGTTTGTGGTTGTGTGACGTGGACGACGCTGCTCCACCGCTGTGGCTTCGCCACAGGTGCCCACTGGGTGACGAGAAGAGAATAGCAGTTCTGGCATTTCTGTGGCCAATAGGACAAACCCCAAGTGCCTGCCATTAAAAAAAAGAAAAAAAAAACTTTTATTCTCTTAATTTACATTCTTTCGATAAGTGTATGGTGGTTCGACGGGGAGCAAAGCTGTTGACTTGTATATGAAACATGCAATTTAACATACATTTTTATTCTAAAATAAATTGAATTGTTGCCTCAATTAAAATATAAATTAGGTTAAGGCTAAAAGCTGGGTATTTCTGTGACCAGTATTACCTTGCTCATTTGCCAGAGTTCTGCAGGTAGGAATTTATTTACATTAGAAAGAAAAATTGATTTCAAGCACCATATTGTGCCTTACTTGCATGGATGCATGCTGATGAATCTGCTGTAATAGTTGAATTTCACAAGGTCACTCATTCTGCTCAGTTGTAATCATGATGTGCTTGGAAATGAAATCAGACATTCTGAGTGAAGACATATAACTCAGCACTATGTTTTAATTGGAGTGAAAAGTTAACTCAGAGCTTTGAATCTTAGGATACTGTTTTCGAATCATTGATTTTGCTATAAGTGATTCAATGAATTAACAAACTTCTACTTGTTTATCAGTGGCTGATATGAGATGTGTTTATCTTGTTTGTGTTTATGCCTCTGAATTTATAGAACAACAATTGGACGTACTTCTCTGATTGTCTGGTCAGTTATTGAGTGAAACATCAGACTATCTTTTAACACCAACAATAAATATGGCAATTATGGCATAAACTTCGAACATACTGTTAAATGGAGGAAACATAAAAAATGCATAGAAATTTAAATTCCAGATATTTCATTAATAATATTTTTAGTAACCTAAGTACAAGTAACACGTAAATGGAGGGAAAAAAAATTGAAATTTAAGTGTAATATTGTTTTTGGGTTAGCAGCAATTTTAGAGTGTTTACTTGGTATAATTTATCTGTTAGTTACAGGCATAAGAATACACAGATTAAAACACTTTTTTAATGACAAGTTTCATACAGTTTTTAAAATCTCAGTCTTTCCAGAAACATTTTTAAAACAAATGAAATTTAAATAAAGCATTTGAATTCTTTCGATTCCTGATAAAGTAACAATGCCACCATAAATCAGCCTGGCTTTTTCAATTGCTTTTTTGGCAATTATTACCAAGGAATTTTTCATGGTTTTTCAAACCTTGATGTTTTTATACGACATTATAACGTACCATGAATTTCGAATCACATATTTCAACAATAGCTTTTTGACTCATTCGAAATGGCACCATTCCACTGTAAACTCGTGTGGTTTTGTCGATTGCTTTTTCGCAAGTTATTATTAAAGATTTTCATGTAATTTTTTAAAATATTGTTTTCAATGCAAAATTATTTTTCATGGTGGATTTCAAACTGTACATTTGAGGAATTACTTCTAGATGTATTATATTTGCTATGATTTTGTTGTAAATCTACGTAGTTTTGTCAACAGTTATAGCAATAAGTTTTCTATTGTTTCTTTAACACACGCTTTATTCATCACAAATTTGCAAAAATTCTCAACTTGGAGGTAATATTTTTACATGAGGTTCTACTGAGGTGAAAAGCCAAAGTCACAAAACCTTGGATTTCACTTCTTTGATACTTAAATTTTTTGATCATATAACAATGAATAAAAATCACAAAAAAGCAGAGGATTTTCATCTTTATAGATGAAATCCTCTGCTGATGAAGATTTTATAATCTGCATTAAAAAATCTTCATCAGCAGAGGATTTTAATGGCAGTGATTTACAAACTTAATATCAGTTTTAAAATTTTATTCCTTAATTTTAAATTTTATCCCTCAAAAATCAATAGAAGAAAGAAATTATTACCTAAAATTTCTTCAGGATGACACTGATAAGTGTATTTTGATAACAGTTTAAATATTACATAAGCTTGTTTTTGACGAATTTTGATCTATTAGTATAAAACAAGTTATTTTTATTAGTTGCCTTTGCTGAAAATAGAGATTTCAACACTCTTTTATCACAAAATAAAAAATTTCTTTCTGCCATTTGATTGAAATTTTAAAAATAAATTTTTTACATAGTTTGATACTAAAAGAATTCTATAGTAATATTTCTGTCAAAAAAACCTTTAATTTTACTTTTGTTTAATAGTATAATCAGACATACCTACATTGTATTGGTTATTGTTCTTAATTGTCAAAACCTATAAGCTATTGAGCTTTCGGTCGTATATATATATATATAGGTATATATATATTCACACAAATCTTTTCTTCTTAGTATGCACTTTTCTTTTTGAATAAATTAGTAAAAAATAACTGGTTTGTTGGAGAAATGATGAAGAATGCTATGTGATTAAGGATAGTTAAATTGTTTATAATATTCTACAATGCAGAAAAAAGGAAGACAATCACCAATTTTAAAATAAAAACTGAGTAACAAAATCAACTTTTTGAAGGACCAGCACACTTTGTTAATTTTTTTAATAAAAAAAATAATAAGAGAAGATTGTAAAACAAGTTTTACAGCATGCATTATATATCTTGCAAATAAGCAACGTTTGTTCAAGATGTATTAAGATGCTTTTCTTTTAAATGATTGAGTATACAGAGGTGATTGCGAGCCAAAGTCAAAATTCCGAAAAATTTCTTGAGTTTAAAAAAAAGAAGAAGTTTAAATTGAAAAAGATTTAAACTAGGTTATTTTTCCATTTTCTCAATATTTCTTAGCTTACTTAAACTATATTTAAAATTTTACACATACCTATACCATTTAAACATGCCTATGATGACCCAGAGAAGTAATTATAATTTACAAATATGTCTTTCTTTCTTGTGTTTATGATTAAAACAACTATTTACTGATAAAAAATTAATATTAATCATGAATGTAAGCTTATAAAGTATCTCTCGGGCTCTCCCTGACAAGCAAATAAAATAAACTGTGTTTTTAAATTCCACCTTTGAAAATTTGATTTCCGAAAACTTCTGTGATTGATGATTTTTTTAAACATCTGGACCTCCGATCTCCAGAAACTTCCGGATCACTGTTAGCAAAAATTCCGGAAATGCGGATTTTTTCAGGAGCACAATCAGCCCTGAGTATATGAAAGAATATATCTTATAAATTGTTTTATAGCTGAGAAATGGCAGTTTTTGCTAAAGTTAAAATATATTATAATTATTAGTTGCTGTCAAACTTTGATTTAGAGTATTCACCAACAACAATAAATTGGCTTACTTCAAACCTGTATTGCTATATCCAAAGAGCATTCAAATAGAACAATCACTTACTCAGTGATTGCGTAAGTATCTCAGGAGTGGGGGAGCTCTCTCCCTGTGTATGCATGCATATATATATATATATATTGGNTATGTTACACACACACACATATATATATATGTGTGTATATAATTTGAAGTGTTTTAAAATTAAAATATAATTAATAAAAGAAATAGTTTGCTAGTAAATTATTTACCATTTAACAGTATTTTTTTTAAAAATTCTGCTTCACAGTTTTTTATTTTGTTTGCTTTGACATTTGAAATCAAGATGTATATTTCCTTAGCAGGGAGATGAATAGAAGATGATTAAGTAGCAGTTTTCACTAAGAAAATGCTAAAGCTCTCTTGAAATTGAAAATTTTTTTTAGAATTCACAAAAAAAAAAAAAATTGCAATTTTAGAAGGGACTGGGTCCCTTTATTTCTAAAATGTAAGGGGGCTCAAGTCCCCTCCGCCCCCTGATTCTGCTGTACCTGCACCTACTTTTAAAAAATCAAAACAAAACTGACAATTTTATATGCACAATACATATAGGAATCTAACAATTATATTATGCAAGTAAAATATTTTAAAATGCTAACTTACTGTTTTAACTATACAAATCTTTCCAATGTCTTTCTTAAGCTTAAAGATATATATATATATATTTATCCAAGCAATTTTTCTTTTCAAAGTTGAGAATCATATGCTGAAATCCAAAATCGAAATAGTTCTGTAAAAATTATAACTATTCAACTCAACAGCACTAGAACAAACTTACTGGTGTGAATCCTATGTATTCTTTGAGTAAGAACTAATATTCTGCAACTGAATTCATAACAAATTTGTAAACTAAGCGACAGGGTAAATATGATTGAAAATAATTCTCCATGTAAGGGAAGATCATAAATAGGTAAATAACTGATTATACAGAGTTAATGGTTACCCCATTCAATTGTTTTTGAGGCATTAAAGAGAACATCTTAACATCACTGAAACAATTTCATAAAATTTGTGGCATTGTATGAAAAAGGTAAATAACCGAAAAATTTCCTATGCCTTGTTTGTCCTAAGTGCAGTTTAAAAATTTCTTAGACTCTCGTTTGGCTCTGATTTCATAACATCATAATGTGACCAATAGTAAATTGTATCCAAATTTTTTCAATTAAATCAACACAAAATTATGAATTGTTAACCAATATTACAACAAACTCACCAAGGACCACTATCACTGACTGTGACATTTACAATTTTATGTCATTTAAAAGTTATTTTTTTTCTCCCAAAGTCTTTTTTCATTTTGTATAATGTATGCTTCATTTTGTGTAAGTTGAATTTTTATTTCTAATATTTCAATAATTTGTTTTAGTTACTTTTGATTCTAAGTATTTCTACCAGTTTTCTAACATAGTAAAATGAACTTAGCATTTACAGAATAATGTCATTCTTCAAAAAATTAGATTTGTAAATAACAGTATCTTTTTAAAGATGTATTTTATATCAGCAGAGAATACTTTATTAGATAATTAATATACCAAACCTAATTAATATATTTAGAAAAAAAATATTTATACTTTTTTGTATTAAAACAATTATATCTATGTAACAAAATTAAAAATATTTTATAGAAATAAAATTAGAATTCCTATAACATAAATGTACAGTTTAAATAAGTTCAATCAACTTGGAAAAATTAAATCTAGATGAACATAACATTTAGTTTTTAACTTTATAATACATTGAATTTAGTTAAATTAAATTACTAATTAAATTATATAATTAAGTTAATATTAAATTATGCAATCTTTGCTCTTAGTAACAACCTTTTCTGAATAACTGGATTATCTGATAATTTTTAACTTTTGCCTGGTTATCTGTAAAGAAAAATATATGACACTAAATAGGGTTTAGAAATAATTCAAGATGGCATTGAAAAGGGTTTTAACTACTACATTTCCTCCACAAAAATAATTAAAATTCCAGCAATTTTAAAACAGACATTTTAGCAAAAGAGGAAGGTTCGTTATGTAAGTGTTTCAGTAATTTAATGTTTATTTCTTAAAAAAAATTTTCAGCTTTGTATAAGAGAAAAATGAAATTTTTTTTTAGTGACTTACAATGAGATAAGCGCAAATAGAAATGTCTTCATAAACATATTTAAAAGGATCTGTGCTATTGTAATCAGGCCAAATCTGAAAAAAAAAAACATACTAAGTAACGAAATAGAAATTTTTTAGCTCCTAAAACTAATTAAATACAAAGCACAATACCTTAACATAGTGTTTTCCATATTTATCTTTAAGTTTGTGAAGATTTTCATTATAGAGCTTTGCTGAAACCAAATTAAGAGAGGGTAAAACAGTTTCTTCAGGATGAAATTTACACCATTTGTAGATCTTTGGCAAAATATCTGATGCAAGCCACTTTTCTGATTTGCAGTTATTAGCATTATTTTGGTCGCAAGAGTTACGTGAAACTTCTAACATAAGCCTGAAAAATTAAAGGGTAAATGAAAAATATAATAAAATTATAATTGCAATGAAATCTCTACAAAATTCTTTACTAAGTGAAACCCAGGGAATAAAGTATTTACAAGAAGTCCACTTTTAACTTTATCTATTATTTGTGTTAGAACTCTTTTAACTACATTTGATTTGATGGCAACTCATATGGGGTTATAATTAGGGATGTAATGAATATTCGGTCACTATGCGGTATTTGCCCTCTTTGGTCCAAAATCCAGCTGGCTGAATATTTGGCCAGATAATCGGCAAAATATTCAGCAAAGCATTTTTTAGAAAAGTATTTTTCAACAGAGTTGTTTTGGGGGGAATTTGGATAGATTTCATAAAGAATAATTTAAAATCGTATTTTTTACAATAAACTATTAGAAAGTTTTTACACATATTTGTTACATTTTAAAACTTGTTAATTTATGTTCTGAAGGACATATGGAAAAGCAAAATTTGGAGAAATTGTAACTTGATTACTTTATACTGAACCATAAGTTATGTACTGCTGATTTTTCATAAAATTAATTCAAGCCAGTCTATTCGTCATTTTTTAACACTTTTTTTTTCAAGAATTGAGAACTTTTTTTAAGTTTGTTTAATTTTTGTTGTTTTTCTGTTCTAATTGTAGCACAGCATTATAACGGAGTGGTTCTTATATACTTTATTTTTTATTGAACTTTTTTCCCGTACGGTAACAGGTAACCTTGAAAATTGTGATTTTCATCATTAAAGTTACATTTCTGAACAGAAAACAATTTTTTTTCTTCTGTTTCTCAACTTTTATTTTTATCAGCATTTTTATTATGACACAGAATTTTTCAAAGAGCGTTTCTAATGCGTACGCACCGGAAATATCGGGAAAACTGGAAATTGCCAAGGAAAAGGAGATTCAACAAAGAAAAAGTCAGGGAAAAGGGTAATTTTACCACAAAACCGGGAATTATCAGGGAATTTGATACCCTATCAAATTTTGAGATTTCACTTTTCTGTTTCCAACCATAATTTGCGCATGTGCAGTAAAGAATTATATATATATAAAAAATACAAATAAATTTTTTTTCCTGTACTGACCGTCATTAAGTATGTCCTCGAAATTCTATTATTCTTAAGCGTTTTTGGAGTAATGTCAACTAGATGTCCAACTTAAATAATTGGAAACTTTTGCCTCGAGTGTAATGACATGTTCGGTTCTTTGAATTCACTTTTGTCTATCAATTTTCCTCATCCTTCATTTATTATGTATAAAACTATGTTTATTTCTAACGTCAACTATGTTTATTTATTAAATACCTCTTAAAGAATTTTTTTTTTTAATTTAATGAATTCTAATTCCTTAGAGGTGGGGTAACATTAGCAAGTTTTGCCTGATGTGAAATCACATCTGCTTCCGTGAAAAATCGTCTTTTATGATATTTTTTCAGTTTAGTAAAAAAAAAAAACTATTGTTTATTCATATGCATAAGATTATTTATTGCTAAAAGCAGACGATATTTTATGAAGCAGATTGCAGCGTTCTTTTTTTACCAAGTGATAGATTTCTGATTCCACTTAGTCTTTTTTTCTTCCCCTGATCATAAAAAATATAGTACTTAATAAATTAGTCCTTTCTATTCATGCAATTCATGATAAAGATTATTTTTTAAAATTCAGTTGATCACATTATATCCTGCTTTATCTTGGGTTTTGAAATTAAGTTAGCGCTTCTTTTAATTTTATTTTCCATCTGGTTATTTTAGTCTTTTTATTTAATTTGATCAAGCGTTATGATTGTATTTTATCATTTTCCTTGTAAGTTTTTATTGTATTTTGTCATTTATTTTTTCCTTATTATTGGGTATGAAACATAGTGCATTTTTTAATCATTAATTTTGTTTTACATTAGTTAATTTGGTGATTTTAATAAGTCTTTAGTTTATTACAATTTGGCTTAAATTTTATAATTTTTTAAATGTTTTTTTAAAATTAATTTTGCATTTTACCATCATACTTTATATTTTTCTATCTATTTATTTATCTTATTTATGATTCATTCTCTTTAAAATAAAAAATCTTAACATATTGCATTTTAGTTTTTTTTTAAAAATGTTCTCCCTTTATTTTTTGTTACCTTGTAACTTTGTTTCATAATTTAGGATAATTTATTTACCTTATAGTTAAGGATTAAAATACGTTTTTATTCTTGATTTATTGTTGCTTGTCTGTTGATGTAAAGCATTATTTTTTAGTTATTTATTCTATTCGATTTAATATAATAAATATGGATTAATTTATATGCAATACGGATTATTTAAATATTTGTCATTTTCTCTTTATCTGTTATAATATGTTTTTTCAATAATTTTCTTTTTAAACTAGGATTACTCAACTAAGTTTTGCAATCTTATTGGTGCTTATCTTTCCAATAATAAATTTTTCTTATGGATGCTAATATATAGGATTTTAATTATTTATTGCGTTTTCATTTTTAAAAATGTTTTTATGGTAACTAAATGCAATTTATTAGATGGACGCCTAGGATCGTAGTCCCCCTCAGCATGTCACTGGTACCAGCTTCCCTGAGAAGTAAACATTCTTCTGTTATGAATCTTTCTGCTGGGAACCTTAGGCTCTTTTGTATAGAAAAACTTACGCCTTCTTTACCATGTACACATTCTTAGTTTCTTCCTCCTGTTTATAATATACTTCAAAAATTTCCTTTGCAGAAGATTTTATTCTTATAAAATAATGCAAATTTAAAAATAATTAAAAATTTAAATCGATTTAAATTTTGATTAAATCATTTATACATATTTATCAAGATGGTTATTAAAAATTTTTTCTCACTTGTTATTATTCAATAGGATCCTATATGGAAAAGCAGGAGATAAAGGATATAAGGTATCAGGAGTTTTTACAGGATAAAAAGCAACACTGCAGCTAGATTTATCTGGAAAAAAAAATAGGATAAACAATATTTACAAATAAGTAATTATTTCAAAATTAAAATATATATATATATTCCTACCAGCAACAGAAACTTCTACCATGTCTTCATACAATTTCATATTTCTTGAAAGCAAATTTCTTACAAATAACATCTNTCCGGGATAGCGATGGTCCCGAGCATCCCGGATAATTGGTTCTCTACTGTAATTAAAAATTTAAATCGATTTAAATTTTGATTAAATCATTTATACATATTTATCAAGATGGTTATTAAAAAATTTTTCTCACTTGTTATTATTCAATAGGATCCTATATGGAAAAGCAGGAGATAAAGGATATAAGGTATCAGGAGTTTTTACAGGATAAAAAGCAACACTGCAGCTAGATTTATCTGGAAAAAAAAATAGGATAAACAATATTTACAAATAAGTAATTATTTCAAAATTAAAATATATATATATATTCCTACCAGCAACAGAAACTTCTACCATGTCTTCATACAATTTCATATTTCTTGAAAGCAAATTTCTTACAAATAACATCTTAGAACCATTATCATCTGTAGCAGAAATAGTTTTTTTTATAGGTTCATTAGATTTGATGTAAGTCGAAGGTATGCTTTTCAGCAAGTCATGAAGAGTCGCCATATTTAGAATTTCTTCATTAAAAAGCCTTAAAAGAGTGCCATTTAAGTCTTCATTGAAGTGATTATGCATAGCAGTCTTAGTTTCTAATAGCTGGGCAGCTAAAAGTCTACGATTTAAAAGATGAGGTCTTTCTATATAAACACTGACTCCATTCCAAAAGTCATCTGTTGAGATTGATTCAACACATTCAAACTCATTTATTACTTTCCACTGTTCATCCATACTGTGATATCTAAGGAAAAAAAATATATATATGGGTCATTCCAAAAATACAGATCCCTTTTGATAAAAAGGAAATAGAAAAAGAAAAATGTTTTTCAAACTAAAATGCATCTATGATAGTTAATTATTTATTAAAAAACCAAAATCAAGCTTTAGCAGCAAACTTTTAAAAAATTATTAATCACTTTATTATCCCATTTCTAAATCGAAAAATAAATAAGCAATTTTGCACTGGTAACACTTAGATGTGAAGTTCTTTTGTACATATAAAGTTTTTTTTACTTATGCATATACATTTGTTTTTAAATAAGCACTCATAAAGACAAAACTCATGTGGAGTTTTATCTTTAATGTTTTCAACTTAGATTTTGATTCAAAATCAAAACAAGTTAAAAGATATCTTTAAAGTATTGATAAATTATTATATCAAAGAATAGAAGTTAACTGAAAGTAGCAAAAAATCTCATTTTTTCTTTTTCATATAAAAAGAACAGGTTTTAAAAATTAGCAGACAATTTTGAATTAATTAAATCTTTCTTACAAGTTCAAATAAAATAATCTAAACTACGCATTTGTTAAACTCCAAAATATGCCTTCAATTTAAAAACAAATCATTAGAATCAAAATAATTAGGATTTAAATAAAAAAAATATTTAAATCAAATGAGTTTTTTTTAAAAACAAAATTAGCAATCTTACCAGTGCCAGTTATTATACCAATAAACATTTTAAGTCAACATATTACAAATCAATAAATAGATTTAAAAATGTATAGAGCTTTTATTTATTTTTTTGTATATGTAGGTAACATAGTTCTGAGTAAATCTTCCATAAGAAGTTATAAAAATGAATAGGTTATCTGAAGTTTGGAAGAATATCAGAGGATACTGTGAAACTGTATCGTGGCATCTAAGCACTCACACAAATAATGAAGATATTCATTTAAATGGTTTGTTTCTCTTTATTTAGGGTTTGAAAAATGCTAGTAGTCAAAATTTCATGATATGACTAATTTGTTTTTAGACAAAGTTTTATTTTTGACTGGCTTTTAAATCCAATCAATGCTTAAAGAAACAACAACAGCCTGGCTCGGGTAGCCTGGTTGTTAGGGCACTGGGCCCACGTCCAAGAGGTTGTGGGTTCGATCCCTTCCAGTGGAAGACTCCCAGTGTAGTAAATGGTGACTGATGCACATTAAATCTGTCAAGTCACAAAGCCCTCCATGCTTCTATAACAAATCATACCTCTAGGGGTACTGATCCAGGAGTTTCCTCATCTTCTGGATTGGTTCAAAATTACAAGGCTACAGGGTAGAACATTAGTAGTCTTAAACTCAAAATTTTGGGTCGGCAGTTCAATGACGGTCATAAAATAAAATATATCAGAGGAAGTTTTAATTCACTTAACAAAAAGTGCTCTTTACAATAAATGCACCCTGACCCTTTTTAAGAGAAATGTGAAAACTGTCTCCTGTACTAGACAATTTCTTTTACATAGGTACTGATACAGAAATCTTTCATTAACTTTTCATCTTGTTAGCTATTTACACTTATTTTTAACATCCATAATTTTGAACAATGGCTTTAAAAATTACTGTAAATTATAAAAGTGGATTAAGCACTTTATAATTGAGCAGCATATTTTATAAGATTTGCCTATATGATGCATATTTGTATAACATTTAAAACTATTCTGTAAATTTATAAGGGGGATTATCATAACTACGGCAAGTTGACGACGAGTTTCGTTTGTTGGCCGATGAAGGAAGATAGCGTTTCTGGTGACCTTTTTAAATAAGTCGCCAAGAGGTTACCGACACTTGGCCTTGCCGTAGTTATGATGAAAATCACATTAAACAGAGAAATAATTTGTTAAAGCCTTATACAAAATATACCACACAACCATAATATTGATTTCATAGAATTTCTTTCGTAGAAATTGTAATGTGGGATAGTTTTTCCTTAAACTCAAATACAACAAACAGATTTGGAAATTTAAAATTAAAATATTTACCACTTCAAAGAAAATGATATGAAATATGGCAAATGATTTTCAAGAGTACTTCTCCAATTAAATGTCCTCAGGTACGATGTAACATATTATGCAATGCTATGTCAGGCAATTGTAATCGTTAATTTCCACTTCCCTGCTACTTCGCACTTCAAAACCAAAACCAAACAAACCACGTGTAAGCTATGTTTACTTGGTTAGATTTCACCTGTCTATTTCTGCTGACTACGAGACTACCTAAATGTACTCTGGTTTTATGAGGGCCGTTAACAGACAAAAATAGGCATTTTAAAACGTATTACTAAAGAAATATAAACAAACAACTATCGATTTTGTACTTACCGGCGATAAGCATTGTAGCTACACGTCTAATATTCGTAGTTCCGTATGTAAAAAAATTGTTAAATCGTGTGTTAACAATTTAATTTCATTTCTTTTAAATTTTGCAAGATGTTGAAAAGCGGTTTTATTACTAAACAGTACTAAAATATTCATGTTTCAATAATTCATAGTGTGATAGAGTTGGAAATTTTTTAACGAGAAAGGAAGTATTAAAAGTATGCCAAAAGAAAAAATTATAAAATTTTGTAGTTTTCTTCCCATTGCTTGTTTTTATCATTAGAAATGTATTGTTTTTCTTTTTTTAATAAACAGAGCGGGCAAATTGTATTAAATAGATTATAATTTGGTTGAAAGAAGTCTTTTATTTTTTTCCATTTATTATTTTATTGGTAAACAGTTATCCATTTCCCAAGCTTTTTTCATTAAAATTCACCCATTCAAATGTTGAAAACATTTATTTTTCTTCTTTTTTTGTCTCTTCTGTTCTTTGAAGCTGCATAAAATTATAGTTTATACTAAAGCACTATTTTTCACAAATGGGAAGAGTGACATTTTTGCTCAAAGCATTGGTTTTAATTTTTTTTAAGATACATAATTAATCAATAAGATAAGACTTTTTTTAAAAATATCTCAGCTAATAATTATAATATAAATTTAGCTTACATTTCTTTCATTGTTTTGAAAGTAGGTGATTTATGTAAGTAAGAAAAAAAAATTCTTTGATATTCTTTCAATTATTTTGATTGATTCATTATAATCTGTCGAATAATAAACCTTGCTGAACTAAGTATTCTACATTTGTATTAACAATTGTTTAAAATTCTGTATTCAACCAAAATCATTATTTGATGCATATTCTGATTTCTTTATTTTAATCTATGCATTTCATATTTTTATCTTTTTTATTTATAGATGGATCTTCATTTCTATTTCATTTTATTCTTCGTCATATACATTGATGCACAAGAGGTAGATATTAATTCAGAGACAAAAGTTGATTCTAAAGCTTCAAAGAAAAAGACAGAAGTTTTACCTCCTTGTCAAGCTTGCAAAATGTTAGCTAATTCTTTTAAAAAGGTAAAAGAAAAAATTTAGTTTTGTTTTGCTCTTGCCTTTTACAAAAGCTCAATAATTTTAATCAAATGGACAGTGTTTATTATATAGTATTAACTTGAATGCTGATAAAATTCTTTTGAGTTCCACTATTTTTAAGACTATTTGATTATAGATAGATAATATGGCTAGCATGAAACTGTGCATTGGGTGAAACACCTAGATTCGAGTTTAGTACTTCTTACTAAATACACTTTCCAAAATATTATTGTTGAAACAAATCATGACATAGATAATAAATTTTTTATCTTTAAGAAAAAAATCTTTTTGTTTATGTTTTGCTTTTTGTTCTGAATTGAAGAAGAATGAACAACATTCCCTTATATATTTTAAAAATAAGTATATTCTATTTTATTCTATTATAATGTAAACACCAATAATTTCAATAGTATATCACCAGGGAAACCTAAAAATGTAACAGAAATTTATTTTTTTATGTTTCAATGAAGTTTTTAGATACTCAACTCTCAGTTCCTGTTCAATTTGAGCGTGCAAGGTTTATATGCACTTGGAAAAAAATAATAAAAAGTGGTAGTAATGTTAATATAAACTTTTTTTTTATACCAGTTTAAAAAATTTTTTCCAGATGCGTACGAACTCTGTCCTGTCTTTTTTTACTTTGATTGTCCTCTTTTTCAAAAATATCAGGAAGTCCTAGAGACCCCCTTTGCCAAGTAATCAAAATTACACAGCTACAAATTATACAAGTTCAAGAGGCTATATATAAATGAAGATTAATAAGTGCGATTCCAAAGCATTGCTTGTTGAAGATACATCCCTTCCTCCGGGCAACATCAAAACGTTTAATTAGACAAGGGGGTAGTTTCAAGAAAAGGGGATGTCGCTGATTGGTAAGACATATGTTTTAAAACTAGACCAGTGGCAAGAGAGAAATTATAGCGTTTCTATTTTATGGTTTTTATTTATTTTTTAAATCGTGTAGTACAAATATTTTTCTTAATTGTTAGCCTTTCAAAATTCTCAATCATTTTTATTTCCTCAGATTGTTACATTTTAATTCAAAATTATTAATATAAAAGATCCCAAATATTTTATTCTATTAATAAATTGTTGACTGGAGCTGAATTAACTTGTCACTGCCTTCGGCCATGACGAATATTCCTAAGTATAATTTCATTTCATTCAGTAAAAAGAAAATTTATTGGAGTTTATTTAGAATGTTTTATTTTACTTCCATATTCAATTACAAAATAATAGTCGGTGACATGACATAGTTTCTGTGTAAAATTGCTTTTCAACAAAGTGTTAATACAGAATTAGTACCACAGGTTTTGTTTTCAATTCTATTAGGTCTAATCATTTTGATCTAATCCATAAAATTGTTTTTTGAACTTCTTATTTAATTGAACTTTTTATTTAATTATTGGCTTACTTTAAAAACTTATTAAATGTATTTAGCCAAGGAGATTAAAGGTTAATTTTAGTTAGCTGTCAAAAATTTTTCTATTCCTAATAGTGAGTTAATTTGTTGTTTTAATAATTTAATTGAATGTTATTTTCAGGTAATTAAATTTCTTTGTGTATATATATTTTATTAATTTTATTTTGTTCTATTGTAGGATTTAATTTAAATAGTTTGCATTTAATTCAATTTTGCTCTACTTAATTGATATTGTTATGATTTACTGTTATTATTACCAAAAAATGTAGACCACTTAGCCGCATAGAGTATTGCCCAGGGTACACCACGAGGAGGTAGGTCTACTATGAACCCCACACTCACTCATTCATAACATGCAGGGAGAGCTCTCTTAAGGGGGGCTTAGAAATGATTCAAAATAGGGCTTTGAGAGTAGTGACTGGTGCGGTTAAAACAACCCCAATTGAAGCCATGCTACTTTTGACAAATAGCAGACCTGTTCAAGTCATTATTGAAGAACGGACCTTGCTGGACTAATTATCAAGCTAAAGAGAGAAACCTGAAAACGCAACTTGGATTCATTCAAAAGGTTCAGTCTTTGAAAGAAAATTTTGAATTTTGCAACGTGATTAAAAATAACTTAAAACCACAAAATCCTATCGAATCAGAAGAAATTATATCAAACCTAAATCTTAAAAATTATATTATAAAGAAACAAACAGTACCTGAAATTTTAAAATCCCTTGCATTGGAGACCATATATACTGAGTACCCAAAACATCAATGGCTACACGTTTATACAGATGGCTCTTACTCTGACTCGCAAATGGCTGCTGGATCTGGTGTTTTCTCTGATATCTTTTCCTTCTACTCATTGTCGGGACATACAAAACGGCCTTCGATGGTGAAGTACATGCTATATATATTGCATTGAAACAACTGTTGGCCATCCATTCAAAATTTGAAAAAGTTGCATTGCTGTCAGATTCCCAGGCTGCAATCCAGGGGATCAGCTCAAGGGGAGACACTTTGTCGGATGAAGTGCTTCAGTGTCGGAGACTTATCATACTTTTGGCACTAAAAAACAAAAGAGTAGTCATCCATTGGATTCCCAGCCATTGTAACATCTATGGTAACGAGCAAGCTGACTTTCTTGCTTGTAAGGGAACATAAATCCTTCAACAAAGTTGTTATGGATTGTTATTCCATTCCATAAAGCTACATATAAAAAACATAATGAAAATGAATGCCTTTGCTGTCCTACAAGAAAGCATTAGGAATAAGAACTGGAGTGAGACAGATATGAAGGCAGTACCAGATAAGCCTCGTCGAGATGCAGTAGCCACCTTTAGACTCCTAACAGTTCATGATTGTCTTGGAGAACACCTGCATTGGATAGGTATTTATGACCACCTTCAGTGTCAACTGTGTGGTTCTGGAGCACCAATAGAGAGCACCTCCATTGCTGTAGGAGGCTCCACAGACTTTACTCGGACACCGCAAGATATTGGCATGCGAAAGAGCTGTTGGGAAGATGACTTCAATCTTTTGTTATTTTCTATTTTTATTGTTCCTCTGTGTTATTGTTTGTATGCCATTGGAAATGAAATAAAAAAAACTGTTATTATATGAATCGATTTTGTTCTATATAATGGAAATTACCATTGAATAAACCCTATTGTTATCATTACGCCAACAAATAATTTAGCTAATAATAATATAAGAAAATTATTCACTTCTCAGGTCTCCCACCTAACAAGGCTGTTTACTCCTCACACCTAGTCACTCGCATCCAGTTTTTAAGGGTGACTAATTTTTATTATGCAGCCTCATATTATTTATCAATTTGCTGAACATCTAGATTAATTTCTTTCTTGATTTTATTTTTCATGAGTTTAAATCTATGATAATTTATGAAAATGTTCTTCATTTGTCTGAAATATTGAGGGGTACTTAAAGAGATTTCTAATTATTGAGGGGGATATATACTCATTATAGACTGGTAGTCAATGAAAAAACTAAAACTTTCAGAATTATGGATAATTTTGCCAATATTTTAAAAGCTTCGCCAGATGAGAACTGGAACAAAATGGTGTTTTATATGAACTTTTGAATCTATCGCATGCAGTGGTGTGGAAAATGACTCTGAATCAAATTTACAAAACAAAGAATCATACATGAACACATAAGCCTTGTTTAGAAATTATTTTCCCTTAAAGCGTAGAAAATTAGCACCCCTGATTGTGTATTGAAAACTGCATGGAACAACAAACAAACAGCTATGTTTATGTACGAGAAATTATAAAGCATTTTTTTTATTTTTAGAATAAGGATATGATAAGATCGTTTATTTCTTCAATGAAGTATAAGATATGTGAAAAAGTCTGCATGCAATGGTACCAAATTCCTGATGATTGTCTTGCTTATGAATTTGTACTAGCTCATTGTTTTTATCAAAATGTGCACATCGTTTTTGAATTTTCAAAATTAAAAATTAGTAGAAATAGAAACTTATTATTTTTACAAATGTATATAATTAAAAATGTTAAAAAAAAAGTATAAAAATAACCCACATACTTATAGTAAAATTGGATGTGCTCAATCAGGTTTTAGGCTGTATGCAAACTTAAAAATTTCAAGAAATTAATAAGAAACCCATGTAGGAATAAAATTGTTAAAAGGGAACAAGCTGTATTCAATTTATGCTTATAAATAATTTCCGTCTCATCTACTTTTTTTTAAGAAATATTTTTACTCACTGCACATTCAATATCTATTAATCTCATAATTTAAGGGAATAGAAAGGACCTCAAGAGGAAAATTCGAAGGTGGTGATGCATCTTGGGAAAAAAGCAGATTGAAATCTTATGCTGAGAGGTAACTTAATTTTAACTAATGGTTTTTCTTATGATTTTATATTTTATTTTCAGTTCCTTATTATATTAAAGTATAAAAAAATTGAAATATCTTATAAAGCTGTGATGTTTACACAAATGAAAGTAAATGGTGCCTACAAATAATGTCAATATTTCCTGCAGTCTTTTCTTTAATGCAGAGATACTAGATACTTTATTTTAGTAATACTAGATACTAACAGAAAGTAAATACTAGGTTTTCTGTATTTAATACGAATTTATGTCTTGTGTTATGATTTTTAGGGCTGGATATATACTTTTTTAAATTAAAAAAATGGATTCTATTTTTTTAGTATAAATTTTTTAAAAAGAAGAAAAAAATTAGGTTTGGTCACATTAAACTTAATGCAGTCCCTAATGATGATGATGTGTTAGGTGAATTTTTAAAACTGCAGCCTCCCAATTCTCTAATTTTACTGATTATTATTTTGGACTTTAAGTTACAGTAGATTGATCTTCTCAACTAACTACTTGCAACCAATTATAAAGCAATTAAACAATTTTGAGGACTATGGGATTGTAAATTGTTACAGTAAAACAAGTTTAAAAAAAAGTTGAAGATTCATGTTTTTCTCTTTTTTAATGATATCCTATTCCAACAAAAACTTGGTTTTTGTTGGAATAGTATTTAAAAAATATTGTTTATTCATTTAATTTTTTTTTTATTTACTTTCATTTATGTCTTATACTATCTTTTCATTATTATATTTATTTTTTTCAATTCAATTCATTCTTATTGTGCATTTTTTTCAATAATTATTGCTTTATAAATTTGACTAATTTTAGCTTCTTTTGTTTATTTTATTTTTCTCTGACTGCAAGCATTTTCTCTTCATGTATTTTTTATGTTTGGGTTTTCACTCTTTGTAATAACTGAACTTTAGAACTACTAAAGTAAACTGTAAAACTAGCATGTTACTGATCAAGAAGTATTTAATATTTGTGATTTCATACATTTTTTTTCTTTTTGTTTTTATAAAACCTTAGAAGTCAATATATTTTGATGTTTGATGCAAATAAAAACCAACCAATTTTCAAAACCAAACCTGTTTATCTTTTCTCCTGAAATTTGAACAAAACACACTTAACTGGAATTGAATATTATATAAAACATTGTATTATGAGTGAATATATGATCAATTTTGGCTAAATTTTAGTGCATAAGGTTAGCCATCAGCTAGGGCCTTTTCATGCCTTGATTAGGTCCTGATGATTGTAGAAGAGTCATTATACATAAAACTATACATAAGGTTCACTTTATCACATTCCATGACTTTAAAGATTATTTTTAAAATTTTTTGTAAAATAGATTCTTTTAGTCAAAAATTTTTTTTGCACATTAAATCTGAAATTAAATAAATAAAAATATTAATATTAATTGTTTAAAGGCTTTTTTCTAGTTATCTCATATTTCTTGATTCACTGCAAATATAGGTAAATGTAGTCTCTTTAAAAGTTAAAACTATTTTTTAAACTTAATTATTTTTCTATTTTAATTATTAGGTCTTCTAATATATTGACACTCACATCATTTTCTTATATTACATATATGAGTGCATTCTATTAAGACAACATAAAAGTAGACAGTTTAAAATGTTATCCTTTGATTTACATAGATAAGAAATTTTTATATCAGCTAATTTTCTGAGCTATAACAAAATTTTAATATTTCCATTTAGTTCCAAGGTAAGTATTTCTTATGCCGAATTTTGTGTTCCTTGAAATTGTACAGCTTCTACATACTATTTTCCTGTGCATGGGATTTTTGGTCATATTCCCCTCTTTTTTTTTATTAAGATCATTAAATTTTTCTTTTGTTTTTGGTGTTAAATAACTTCCGTGTCTTGATTTTTTTCAGTCAGCTAGGGTATGTTTTTATAATTTATCTTAGCGATTAAAAGCTATTACATTTTTTGTATAAAACTCAATTATATAATATTATGCATAGAATGCTTAATTCTCATATTCTATAATTTCTTTGGTAAAGTTAGTGTGTTTGTTATTCTACTGACTCTACTTTAAAAGATCTGATAAGCTTTAAGGAAAATTATATGCTTTTATAAAACCTATAAGAAATTGTGCTTATGACAAATTTTGCCTAAGATGAACTATCATTGTTACAAACGGTGCCTGCAAAGAATTGTTATTGCAGCAATTTGTGCTGAAGTTGAGCTATGCCCACAGTAAATTATCCCCGCAACAAATTCTATATAATAAATTGACACGAACCATTTTAGGCAGGCTATTGTTTCCGTATTGTAGTGGAATTTCAGAATTTTAAGTCACAAAAATTCGGTTCGATTTTTGTTAGACACTCTTTTCATTGTAAAGTTTTTATTTAAAGCATAAAGAGTAACAAGTGAATTACAGGATTGTGTGTGTTAGTAGACTTGGTGACAGGGAATGAAGATGAAATGTAGTTGACGTTGATTCTACTCTTTATGATTGCATCTTATTTCTTTGACTTTGGTTTTACTAAGAAATTACTGAAACTTTGATACCAAGCTGTAAGTTCAAGCTTAGTAAAAATAAAGTTATGATAGAGAAAACATAAGTTTCAATGTGTTTTAGTATTATTCAAGAAATTTAAAGCTGTGCTTTAATACATTTTTGTTAATAATGACTCTAGCTAAATTGCCTCTAGTTTTTCTTAATAAGCTACATAATCTTAACTAAACTAAATAATCTTAAAAAAAATCAAATAATCTTAAATGACTAAGCTTTTGCTACATTTTTATTTAGTTAATTTATTTTCTACAATGACAAATTCTGAAAAGAATTTATTTGCAGTGAAATTCGACTGGTTGAAATTCAAGAAAAACTTTGCATCGATGAAGAAAAAGCAGCTGAACAGGTGAGCCATAATACTGCATTACATTGGTAAAAGTATAAGAAACTTTTTTTCAAAAAATAAAATAAAAAATAATATCTATATATATGTGTGGGAATGTTAAAATAATTTTTTTAAGCAGTTTATAATTGCAATCTAGTTTGAAGAATGGTTTATTAAATTATTAACTATTATTGAAAGTTAATTATGTAAAGAACTCTTCAAATTTCATTCTTACTTCTAAATTAACAAATCCCATTCTAAATATACACTGCTATAAATAACTTATTGAATTCACAATTACATATTGTTGAAATAAATAAATGGAAAATAGTTTCTTTTTTAAGAGTACACATGTAAAAATTTCTATATTTTTATGTATTATTATTTAAAATTATTTATTTAAATTTAAGGTACTCTTATAATATCTATTGTATTGATAATTTTTTCTCAATATCTTCCATTTTGTCCAGTTTCTTCTGTTTTGTTTCAGTTTTTTCTAGTTTCGCAAAATGCCAACCCTGTTGTTTAGTAATAGATTGAAGTAAAATTTAGTATATTTTAGTTTTTCTGAAAATAGTTAGCATAATATTATGATGTGTAACAAAACAAATTAGATGTTATGCTTTAATTAGAATCAGTAAATGAATGTTATAAAACTATTCATCCTATTTTAAGTTCTTCCTTATATTTTATTCTTTTCTCTTTGAAAAGTGTCCTCAATTTATAGTACAATCATTTACAGTGTATAATTTTTTTAAATTCAGTTTTGCTGTTGTAAATTTTTTTCTTTTAAATAGTGGTTATGGATGGGTGATCGTGTAAAGCTAAGGGTGGTGGCACTAGTGGTAAAATTGCTCTTTCAAGACTTCCGGGTTACTGCTTCCGATATATTTTTACACCGCAGATTGAAAAAACGCGCCATCATATTATTGCATCATATCTTTTGCAGTATTTCACATGTACCGAGTTCTTTCTTTCAGCCTTTAAACTTCAGCATTATCATAATAATATTATAATCATTAGAATATTTTCTAATAAGGCTAATTTAAAAAGATATTTTTAAAGACATTTTATTTAAATGTAGCCAAATAAGGGATAAAATGCAAAACATGGCAAACATTAAGAATTATTCACAATGAGATATAAACTTTCCAAAATTTTTTTTGGCCTTACGACCTCTGAGAATCAATACATTTCTGAAAGCTCTTATGAATGGTACAATTATGTATAGATTTGAACCCAAATTATAATAACAAAACTGCATAGAATATTAGGCTTGTTCACACATCGCCTGGTAGTCATAACATAAGTGGAGGGATACATCGGAAATTTTCTAAATTTCTTCCGGTTTAAGGACGCTTGTTATTGTTTACATTAGACCACCCATCCATAAGTTCTTGAAAAGTTTTTCTCTCTCTCTCTTTGTTTGAGTATTAATCCTGTTCAATTTTAGTTTGCTTATACATCTAAAACTTGAAGGAAAACGTCCATTTAAGAATAAAATTTTAAAATATTGTTTGAAAATAAAATTTAAGATGATTATAAGGCATTATTCCAAACAAACTGTATTAAATTTACTGCCATCCTGAATAAATTGTTTTAACTTCCAAAGATCACCTGGATCACATTTGCACTTTGTTGTAAATTTTTAAACCGTTTCATCAATTCATTAAAGTTGAATTTAATTATTTTACCAGTCTTTATTATATATATGTTATCAATCTCTTTATATATTTACTGTAATAAGAATATTGAGAATCAGCTAAAAAATTTAGAAATGCATAGTTAGTGTTTCTACGTTTGCTTAGATCTTGTTACTGCTCAAAATTCATGTTTCTAAAGCTAAATGAGATAAGTTTTTTCCCCCACAATTATTGGAATATGCACAAGATTTAACAAAACTGCTTAAACAAATATGATATTTAAAATAATGATATTGTCACGTAGAATGAATCTAAATCAGTTCAGAAAGTTAGAGGTTTATTAAGAACCTTCAAACGTACAGGGAACAAAGTGACTGGCATTTTAACTTGAAACGCCTGATCTTTTATAGGACTAAATAACAGAACAGGAAATGACAAATTAGAACATTCTAGAAACTTCTAGAACATACAGAAATTATAATTAAAAGTTTATATTGCATTTGTAGATTTTTTCATTTTCTGAGAGCTCTGAGGATCGAACTCGGTATCTCTGTCTCTCCAGGGGGACGACTCTACCCTCTCGGTAATGCTGACGTACGATAATATAAGTAAATAAAATTGAAAATTACAACAAAAGTTTTAATCTTTTAAATTTCTTTTTTATCAAGTGCAAAAAAATGCTTTTTTTTTTTTACTTTAAAGTATTTCGTGAATTTTTGGCTTTGTTGACTGCATAATTATTAATATTTCTTAAGTTTTATATTTAATATTTTGACTAAAAATAATTTTTTTAAGATTAAATTTTAAAATAAAATATATTATATTTATGTTTTTAGCATTGTTCCAATTCCAGTCTTAATCTTTTATTTCTGCTATTCACTAATCCAGTTTTGAACATTAATCATACAATGCATAAATATTACTGACAGAATCAGTAGTATATTAAATGCTTGTGTAGTTATTATTTTTAGTACTTATGCACAGTTAATTTTTTTGTTGTGGATACTATGAAATTTTGTTTATAGTTTACTATTGATATTATATTTTGTTATGTTTTTTATAGTTTTTTTTATTATATTGCAGTGTCACCGATTGGCTGAAGAACATGAATCACTTCTTGAAGAATGGTGGTTCAAGAAAAAAAATTCATTTCCAGACATATTTTATTACCTTTGTATCGATAAACTTCAAGGTAATATTATATGATAGCTTAACTCATATTTTTTGAAAACTGTTAAGAGAAATATTTGTGATTTCTTTGTTATATTCCATCCAGATGTATTCCATTCTTTGTTATATCACAACTTTTCTTCAGAACTATGTTATTAATATATTTTACTTATTTAGTTTATTGTATTTAATCCTGAAAATAATTTATTATAACTATAAAAAGTAAAACCATTAATTTAAGAATTGAAATTTAGAAATTTAAGTTATGTTTTACCAATTATGCTTCCTTGATAGGTTTTTATAGTTTATTGTCTATATTATCAAGTATCTTTCTCTTTAAACTTTGTGAATGAAACAACATGCTTTTAAATTTTCTATTTTTGAAAAAAAAAAAAAGAAACTTATCAGTATGCACCCGATGTTTGTTTTTTTTCCCCCTCGCCACATCAGTGCATTTTTATTGATGTCACTTTTCTCACATGCCAAAAAACAGAATCAAATAATGCAACCTTATTAAATTGGAAGATGATTTATATTACCGTCATTTTTAACATCACAAAGCATGCATTTATTAGTAAAAAATGGCATATCTATATCAAATGCTATCTCCCAGGAAACAGCTTTGTTACCTTTCTGCTGCTGGTTTCATGAAGTTGTAGCAAAATATATACATACAAAATTATTATATAACAACACCAGACTTGTGTATAATAGAAAAAAGGATACAATAATAAACACATTGAAGTTACTTACTTATGAAACATGTATCCTATTTTTTTCGTCAAAATAGAGTAGAATTATATCAATCTTAAATCATCGTTTTGACAGATTCACAGCAATCATAAATACATTCAATTTTAAAATTGACTCCACAACCATATTAAATCCTTTCACATACTACAAATATTCTTAATGAATAATGCTGCAATCTCAATTTTTTGAGGCCTTATATTAAAAGAGAATGTCTAATGATAGTCTCACACCCAACATACTATGATTCTACGCATTACTTTAAATTTTCTTAATTTATATGAGCTGTGTAGATAGATGGAAAAAAATTCTTCAACCTTAATTAAAATTTTATCCACCACTACAAATAAATAAGTTATATTAATATAAAAATAATCATTACACTAAAAATCACATTCTATAAGTTCTGATAAAAGTTTTATAAAAATTAGATTTGCTTTAAAAATTTCTGCTTCGATTTGTTTATTACCTACTTGGGCTCTTCATGCTGTGTGGCGCATAAGACATTTAGTGTACTTCTCCATATCTCAGGTCTATGACTTGGGATTTTGTTTCCTCCAATTCTTTAAATTCTCCTCTTTTAAAATCCAACTTCATTTAGTGCATGTCCTGTCCATTTCCACCCTCTTTTATTGCATTCAACTTATTGTAGTTAAGTTGTTTTTTCTATTATTGTTTCCTTTCTAATTTTAACTAGCTAAAAGATTTTAATTTTTTTATGAGGCAGTTATTTTGTAAAACCACAAGTTTTTGGATCTCTGACTTTCTAAGGCACCATATTTCAGAACCAAATAGTAGAATTGTTCTGACTATGCGACAATTCGCTATAACTGATGAAATTATTTCACAAAAACCTCACATATAGGAAGGTATAAGGTCATAATGACCAAAATGAAGTGCTTTGTGTACCAAGTATTTTTAAAAACATCTAAGGTAAAAGAAGTGTTAAAAATAAGAAAAATACCCTTTTTATTAAAAAAAGTATTTAAAATATATTCATTTTAATGCATGCTACACATTAAACCATCATACATCATTAAAACTATCCAAACCAAAGTGTTTATTAAAAATTTTTTCAATTAACAGTAAAAGATGAACAGAAAGGATATGAATAATAGTGTTTGGTGTTACTTCACATGTTGGAAATGTCTTGTAATCATTTTCACCTAATTGGACATAATACACCCTCTTAAAAGCAATATAATTCATTGAAATTGTAATATAATTATGAAAAGATGTAAAATTGATTTGCTCCATGAAGAAACAAATGTAAATAATTTTTCTGAATAAATAAATACTTATTAAATAAATTATTTACTATGACTGAAAGAATCTTGATATTTTGTGTTGTAAATATTTGTTGAAGAGTTTTATTTTGAACATATGTATTTAGAAGTCAATCAAGTGCTTTGAAATTAAAATTTTAAATTATTGTGATAGTAGAGTTAATTGATTTTGGTAGTGAAACATTCATACAAAGAAGTGATAGAATAATGATTGGCACAATTTATAACATTAGAAATCTGAATCATCATTTTGCATCATCTGCAAAAATCAAAATATCCCTTATGTGTAGAACCAAGGTGACACCGTAAATTAACAGAAGTAATCAAATATATATATTTCTCTGGTTTTACTTTTTTAATTCCTTTTTAGCTTGGAAATTTCTCTTTGAAATCTCAGGCAATGTTTATTCTGTTCATGCTACGGACAATAATAGAAAATTAGTTTAGTTTGAGTTAAAATGCACTATTTACACTTTACATTTTTATCATTACTGTGTTTTGTTTATGTATTGTTCTATTTTGAAATGTTTTAGCAAAGATAGCTTCTTATATCATGAATTCATTTATTCATTTCAGGCTGTTTTATAAAATAATAAAGCTTTTGCAGAAATTATTTAGTAATTTCAGCTATGAGTCAATGCTTACAATGTTTCTGTGCTTTCAGAATTTACTAGCCTTCATATTGTAATGTTCTTTTTTATTTGGATAACTACATTTCATTGTTATAAGCACCATCTGCAAATGTATTTTGGTTCTTATACTGTCATTTTATTTATATGTATATAAGTTTGACTATATTATTTAGAGCTTATGTTCACTAATGATTCTAAAATTCAAAGCATGGAATTTTGTGGAATAGATATAAATTGTTGTTTTGATGTTAAGCCAAATTAGTTATTTTGAGTTACCAATTCCTTTTTCATTGGAAACACGTTAATTATATTACAAGATAATTAAAATTAGGATCTAAGATAAGATAATTTTATTCAAGGATCTAAGATCAGTCATTTAAATGAACTGATTGGATTAATTCAAATCCTTCAAGCTTCAATTAAATATGCTGCATGAAAGTTTTCATGCTACACATTTTTCATAATTTAATACGTCAGGAGTGTTTAAAAATTTTGTTTCAAGAATTTTGCTTTTATTTTTCAGTGTGCTGTCCTGAAAACCATTATGGTCCTGACTGTAAACCTTGTGTTGGTGGAATCGTAAATCCGTGTAATAATCATGGACAGTGCAAGGTACTGTTCAAGCGAGTCTTTTTGTTCTACAACCATATTTCAAGCTATTTTCATTCTTGGTGTAAAATTTTCATTTTAAATTCCCTTATGTGGATAGTAATGTTAGATCCTTTTCGATGCTACAGTGTAACATCCCATATCCGAACGTCCCTTTTCCGGAAGGATCGATTTTCCGGACACTTTTTAACAATCAAAATAAACAAACATCTCTTCATCTTCCCCTTTCTGAAAAAAAGGTCTCTTCTCTTCTAGCTTGCACTGAACCCATAAATCACAAAGGGGAAGAGAAGATCTACCAAGACCATTGAGTGACCCTTAATGACGCTACTACCTTTGAATGCAGGAAAAGAGGGAGATTTGTTTTCAAAAGACCGCATCTGAGTCCCCTCCCCCTCCTTTCCTATGCAGCTGGCTAGTGAAAGAGGCATTTCCTGGAACCTTTTAATTGAAAGGAAAGGGCAAACGCAGCAAGCATTAACGTGGAGGGGGAGTCAAAATGGAAAATTTGAATAGGTCTAAAAGGATGCACGTCCTTGAGAAACATTCATTCTTCCCCTGACCATGTAATATTCAGGAGGCGGGGGGGAGGGGTTAACATTCTTTCTTTAGCAGATTCTTTCAGTCATACAAGAAAAAATAAGGAGAACCCCATCAGCGTGCCCCGACCTTTATGCTTGATTGATAGCCAATGATTGGAGAGAAAACAATAATTTGTCACTTCCCCACCCTCAACTTGAATGATCTCCTCTCTACACTTATTTTCTTTCACAAATAAGGAGGAAATGAATTTTTCTCCTCCACCTACCCACCTTAATGAATGACGGGAATTTCCCTTTCTTGCTTGAATCATTCTAGTTAAAAATGGCGGATTATTATTTTCATAACTGTCAATTTTTTTTCGTTTTCTATATTTTAAGCAATAATTTTTTTTCTAATATTTCATATTTGATTGATTGAATAATCTAATACTAAAACATTATTCCCCTTAAAAATAATGTTTATTTATTTTTTGCTTCGTAGATTCAGATTGTTTATCAGATCATTTTAAGCTTTGTTTACCTTGGGGGCCTATTATACGGAAAAATCTATTATACAGACTTCTGGAAGTCCCACCGATTCCGGATACGCGACTTTACACTGTATATCCTACCTATATTGTAATGCTGAAGAAATCAATAATATGCTTAATGTCTCATGAAAAAAAAATTTAAAATCAACCTTGGTGTTCATAAAATCTGTTGCTGTTTATATGATGCATTTTGTCTTAGCTTTGATATTTTATGATTTTCTGCTTTATGTTCATTATTAAAAAGTTCTAAAACTTCGTATATTTTCTATATCAAACAAATTTTATAACTTTCATTAAAAATACATTGTTTATAAATAACATGTTGATACATTTAAATTTAAGTTAATTAAAAAATCCTAAGTGTAGTTATTTTTAAAATTACTAAAACTTTTTTAAAACTAATGATTGCAAAAATTGATTTTAAGCTGATTTGAATATTACAGTCTAAAAAAAAAATTTCTTAAAAAATTTCAGAAATTTGTCACTCATAAAATACCATTGGTATGTACTTAACTGAAAATTAAAAATTTATTGAATTAGTTATATGCATGTTTTTCTCTACTGAATAACCAAAAATAGAAGTTAGCGAAAAAGTAAAGAAATCAATTGAAATCTTAAAGTCTTTCTATTATAGTAGAATTTTTTTAATTAAATGAAGTTCTAATATTTATTGTATGGTATTTTATATGAATAAAACATTATAATTTAATCTTTATAAAATTTTTTTATTTCATGTTAATTTTTTTTCTTTTAAACCTTTTTAGATATCATTAAACTAATATTGAACAGCCAAACATGAATCTTTATTGCAGAACTTAATTGTTTCATATGTATTAGAAGATATGTTAACATAATACTGCTGATTGAATATATTGTCCCAAAAAATACAATTTTAATCCAAAAACTTCTTTAAAAAGTTTTTTAAAACTATGTATTATGCATTTCTCAGACTATTCTGAGTGTAAAATAGAAAAAAACTTTAAAAGTTTGGTAGGAAGTGTAAAATTTTAGTGCACCATTAGAAAACTTGCTTTGAGTTGAGCAATTTAAAAAAAATAGTGCTTTGTCATCTTTATTCAAAAGATTATCAACTAAAGTCTAAATCTATTAATGCCTGGTTTTATTAGATAAAAAATGAATTTTAGGAAAGTTCATTAAAAATTTATTATGTCAATATGATCAAAAGTATTAATGAGCAAATTGCTTATAAATTAATATTTTTATGATAAAAAATATCAAGACTGCAATGTTACTGTACTCTGTATTCAGGATCTGTTAAATTATTCATTACTAATATTATCACCAGTGTTTTGATTAAGTGTTTGCATTATTTTGTTTTGAAGTACTTAGACATAGTGTTAGACATAAAACTTTATCATATTCTTTTTTTTCTTTCTAGGGTGGTGGAACAAGAAAAGGTTCAGGCTTATGTAGATGTGATCCTGGATATATTGGGGAATTTTGTGACCAATGCAAAATTGGATATTTTAATGAATCATCTGGTGATTCCTGGCAATGCTTAAAATGTGACAAATCTTGCAAAGCTCATTGTCGTAAAGGTGGACCAAGAGGTTGTGAAGTCTGTGCAACTGGTTATCAGTATTCCGTAGAGCTTGGATGCATTGGTTGGTTTCTTAACAGTTTTATGTCTTATCTTTAATTTTTTTTATTGATGTCAAAAATATGCTTGGCATTATAATTTTTTATTAATTTATTTTTATAACGAATTTAAGCTGTTAATTTTTTTATACAATTAGGAATTTTTTTATTTTGTCCAACTTTGTTAACGTAAATAGAAACTAATTTTTGATTATCTGTAATTGTATTTATACTTTTAAGTACTTGTAGTGTGAACATATTAGTTGCCTTTGTTTCTGCAAGTTTAAAATTGAAGAAAACATGGAGAATATCTACATGTACATTTATTAGACATCAAACTTATCAACACTTAAAAAGTTTTTGTTCTAGTCAATTATAAATTACACAAATTTATGAATTTCCGTAGTAATTAATCATGTTTCTTATGAAAGTATAGGAATTTTAATTAATTTAATATTAGATTAAAAATTAAAATGCTTTTGTTGGCATGAAATGAAATGCATGTTAATATGTAGTTAAAGCAAAGTGTCTATGTTCTGCGCAATTTAAAAATGAAATTTTTAACTTATAATATGAATAAATTTTTTGTATTTCTTCAAATTCACATTATGGAGGTTCAATTGTATTGACTAATTTATGTATTCAAATATACTTATTTGAGGCAAAGAAAATTAACACTTTCTTTGCAATCCTTGTAATTTGTAAGCTAGTTCTGGGAGCTATCTATAATTTTCTGAGTATATTTTGTTGGTTGAAAAGCAGGTTAACAGATGCCCTCTATATTTCGGTGGTCAGAAATCCAAATCTGTTGAAAAAGAGATATGTTTATTAATGAAAAGTATGTTTTTGTGTCTAATTTCATAATTTAAAATATCGTATGCACTTATAAATTTGCATATTGAAGATCACCCATCGAATCATCAAGATTGAGTCCTGAAACGTGAAAATCATCATTAGATCAAAAGTTATTCAGGGTGTTAATTTTTTTGCACACTGTATATATGTATATTTTTGTTGATTATTAAAATGTCTCTAGCTAAAACCTATAGTGCAATTAACTAAGGGTCTTAGTGTTGGACTTTTCTGACCTCTCTTCAGAGGTCTTTACTAAGTTGTAACTTAAAAATATTTTTCTTTTCTTTTTTTTCAGATGTGAATGAATGTGTTGAACTAAGTTCAGATCCTTGTAAGCTTGGAACTTTCTGTGTTAATTCCATTGGATCATATCGTTGTGTTGGCAAGTAGAAATAAATTGTTTTGCTTTATGAATTTTTTTAAAAAATTATTTTATAAATTTGTACACAATGTTTTATATATTAGAATAATAGATTTGTATTCATATTGATTTTTAATTCTTTTTTTTTTCATAAGTTATGTTAGCAATTTATTTATTTTTCAGCTTAATATTTTCCTAATTAAATTTGTTATAAATGTTTCAGTATTCAGAACAAGAAACATACATACTGCATTTTTTACTGATCATTTTTGAATAATTTTAATTGAGTTATCTCTTAATTCAAAAATAATAAATATTTTTGTAGGATATGATTTAGAAAGATTTAAAATTCTCATTTATAGAAGGAATTTTAAATTTTAATTAGGACTAATTTCCTTTATTTACTCGTTATGTTTTAAAAGGATGTTTGAACAAAAAGATTATCAATGAATGTTGGTTAAAGCATTTTCCTCTGTAAGCTAAGCATTTTTTAAATTTTTTTTTTGTAAATACATAAAATTATGTGTGCAAAAAGTTTCTCTTTATGTACCCTGATTTAGAAATATAATTTGTTTCTTTAATAATTTTCGATTTGGGTTTAATTCAATGTGAAAAATTAATGGTGCATTAAAAAATGCATAAGTTCAGAAAATTAATAAGAATAATTATGTAAGTTCCAGGATTATAAATCTAAGATTATTTGAACCTTAATGATAATTTTACTTTTTACACACTTCTTAGCTCTCAAATTATTTAAGTGAACTAAAAAAAAACATTTCCTCAACTGTAATACTTGTTTGTCCAGAGATATTTCCACACAATAAATAATTTTTATGACCATTTCCTATTATTTTAATTTAAATTGAAATTTCTTTGCGTATTTAAATATACAAATTATTACATTAATTTAAGCTACATGATAAAAAGTTTCAAAATCTAAAATTTAAGTCGAACTGGTGAAATAATTTTAAAGCCAAAAAAACTATTAAAAAAAGTGGTACAGTAGAGAACCAATTATCCGGGATGCTCGGGACTATTGCTATCCCGGATGTCTGAATTTCCCGGTTTTCTGGATTGACCAAAAAGTGTCGTTAAGCGATGTTTTATGGAACCCGAATTACAAGGAAAAAGTGTAACACATTTTAAAGTAAGAGAAAAATGAAAAACACTTCTAAATCTAAAAAAAATAATATGGTAGAAAGATAACATTTAAAGGAATAAAAAAATTTGCAAGTTTAGACAAGAAAAACAAGTTTAAAAAATACAAAATTCTCACACTTATTTTTTAAAAATTACGCTTTAATTACCATTAATAAATTAACTAATATAAGCAAAACCAATGACTAAATAGCGCAATATATTTCATACCTAATTATAAGGGGGGGGGGACGATAAAATAAAGGGAAAATTTATTAATTTAAATAAAAACAACACTTGAAAATTATGGAACCAAAACGATAGTTAAAAAAGGCTCTAGCCTAAATATTAAAACCCGGAACAAGGCAAGATCAACGGAATTTAAAAAAAAACAAACCTAATGATAAAATTTATGAATAAAAAGAATTAATTTATTGAGTGCAAAATTTATAGTGAAAAGAAAAAAAAATCAAACGTGGTGGAATCAGAAAAACAAAACTGCAATCTGCTTCATAAAATAATTGTATGTTTAAATTAATAAACAATTCTCCATTTTTTTTATTTTTATAAAAACGCAATTTTTAATTAAAGCAGATGTGATTCCACATTAAGAAAAACTTGCAAATGATACTGCACTTCCAAAGAATCAGAATTTATTCAGAAGAAAAAGATTTTATTTTTATTCAGCGATGTCAAATAGATAAATATATTTTTCTCTTTCATCTTCAGTTCACTGATATGCATGTGCAATGCATTTCCCCACCCCCTCGTAAATCAACGGGAAAGCGAAATCAGCATGTCACCCCTTTGAGTTTGATTGACTGCCTAAAGGAGAAAATAAAACATTCATCCCTTCCCTGCCTCATCTCGATCTAAAGAACTTCAAGGTCACGGAAGAAATTACTATTCTCTGGGTAAACGGGGGAAAAAATTCTCCCCTTCTCACATTTTCCTCTACTGAGCTTCACGGATGAGTCCAATTTCAGCTTTTTTTTCATAATTGTTCTAGTTTAAAATGGCGGGAAAACCGAGCAAAATTTTTCCTGGTTATCTGGATACCGGATAAATGGTTCTCTACTGTACTTCTAAATTTTCAATTCTCAATAGCTATTTTCGTGTTGCATAATTTATCCTTCTCAAAACACTAAAAGTCATGTGCCATTGTTAAATATTTATATACTTGAATACAATACTTTTCAGATTACCATATTATTTTAACTTTTACTCAGATTAACTGCAACCTATCAAGGAATTTAACTTCTCAATTTAAACAGGGGTTCCAAAGCCTAAAAGTACCTTAGTGGCATAATTTTTCTTCAATTTTTTTTTACTTCTTTTTATTTTAACAGATAAATTTTTAACTATTAATCTTGTTAATCAGAGAACTTAATAATTATTTTACCTTAAATTTGGCACAGTGTGGATCCTGCATCAACATTTTGTGCAATCAATTTAAATCAAGCAAGCCACCTTAGGAATAAAAATAAATTGTTTCTTAAACTTGCATTGTATTCATAAGCATTCTACATTCATAAGCATTCTGTTTTATGATTTTTATTAAATTTTGCTATACTTTTAAATAGATTTATATTATTTTTTTATTTATGTCTGAAAAAAAAACACTAATTTTAATAAAATTGTTTAACAATTGGTACACATAAGGTTTTATAAATTTTTTGTTTGATAATAAAACACAGAAACTATTTTTATAAAAATATTTATTCTTAAAATTATTACTATTTTGACCTTAAAATTATTGAAAATTTATATAACTTGTATTTAAACTATGGTGACTACTGTTGGGTTAATATTTCCTTGTCAACTGTTAATTTTAGACAGTTGTTTGAGATAAATCGTGTTATGGGATGTTTTGGCCATGACCTGATATCTGAGCATTTCGTTTCATAACTGGCTTAGTTGCATTTTGCTATACTTTGAAGCAGTTTTCAAAAAAAGTTTTGTATTTTAGGCTACTTAAAAAAATTATCACTTTTTAGTGACATTTTAAATTGTTATAAGATATAATCTAAACAATTTGTTTTCAGAATTACATAAAGATTTTTTTTATACAAATTTTCAATTTTTTTAAATTCAAATTTCAATAAAATTGGTATTAATTGGATAAAAAAGTTTTTTTTTTATGAATTGTCATATATAAAGTTAATAAACTTATAGTTAGTACTTATTTTTAACTTTGAAGCAATTTTCATTATCTTATCAATTTCTTATCTTAGCAATTTTCATTATCTGATTTATCTTTAAAATTAAAATAATTATTGTTTTTACTTGAATTTTTTGAAACTTCCTACCTTGTAATTGACTTATGGTTTACTTTTTGATTTTAAGTCATTATATTTTATTTATTTATAGCGTGTGATAAATCATGTGATGGATGTACTGGTGATGGACCTGATATGTGCATTAAATGTGCAAGTGGCTATACATATGAAGACCCTCTGTGCATTGGTAAGACAAACAATTTTCACTATATATCTTGGCATAAGTCTAAGAGCTGTAGAGTGATATAAATCATGAAGTTTATATGATTGATTTACAGAACATAATTGATCACAGTAATTATTTTGCTGTGAAATAATCATCTCCTTTATCATTTCTTTTAACAATATCAACCATTTTTTAATTGTAGTGAGAATTACTTATTACAGACATGGAAAACATGCTAAATTACTTATCACTAAAATAGCTGAACAAACTTATCACTGAAATAACTGAAGAAATGATTATGCAGCTCAATATTTCTCTTTGGCTGAAATAAGAGGTGTGAAAGTTTAAGGAAAAGATTACTTTATTTCACTTCTTTTTGAGTTAAGATTTAGCTGCAGCCTAATTACTTAATTGAAATTAGTTGCAGATTGAATAAAAGTAAAATTAAGATATTAGGTTGATGATTTAAGTATTTGGTATTGCCTTAAAAAGTGCTTCCAGAAATCTAGTCCATTGAAAAAACTATCTATCATTGTTACAATCTGTGTGCTAATGCTTGAAAATTCAGGTGATGCAATTTAATTTGACTACATAATTTCAGTGAAGCATTAAGCAAACAGCCTTTCTTATATTAGAACTGAAATTTTTTTTATATGTAAATATTTGTTCCTTTTTTTTACTATGTATTAAACATTAAATACCTAATAATAAATATTAAATATTTTAATACCAATTATAGCCTAACTATTTAATTTAAATCACTGGCGGATTAGATAAAGTACATGTAACATAATTGATATCAATGACTAACGAGTGTCATTTATGGCTTCAATTTTAATCGAAAAATGAGTCAACACTTTCAAGAATCTAGTCCACTGAAAAACATGTCCATTATTGACTCAGTCTATGTGCTTATGCTCAAAATTTCACTTGATATAATTTAATGTAGCTATGTAACTTCAGTGAATTATTGAGTTACACATTTTTGTTTCAGGAAAGATTAAAAAAAAAAAAATCACACAAAATGAATGTGATTTCTAATGCTCTTTTTTTAATTACTTATTAAATAGACAGTAATGTTGATATCTATTCTTAACTTTTTTATTCTTTCAGTAAATATTAGTTTTGCTATGGCTAGAAATTATTTTTTTATGTTTATGAAAATTAAATCCCTGTTTCTGTAATATAGCATTTTAACTAGTTTGGTTACAGCTAATTTATTACCTCTGTTTCTTCAAATAACAAATTCTTTTTATGCTCAACAAAGTAGAATTCTTAAATTTTTTAAATATTTTTAATAAGAAAAATGAAAATAAGTGTAAAATTACAGGTATCCCTGTTGACTTACATTCATAAACAAACTTGTTTTCTTTAATTACTTATCATGGGTATACTTTTTATTACATTTAGAAATAAATAAATGTGTATGCCTGATTTTGATTTCAATACTCTTATAATATATATGAATGTAAATAAAATGAAGTTAATATATTTTGCTGAAATATTTTTTCCACTTTTTCACTTTAAAATAATATTTTAATAATTAAAAAATATTTTTTGTTGGTATTCTTCATACTGTTGATTGTAATTTTGGGCTTTATAATGTTGAATGTAATTCGATATTATCAGTAAAATCAGTATTTTATTTCTATCTATCTTTCGATCTAATTCTAATCTAAAATTTTAAAGAGGGAATTAAAAGTTTTGCTGAGATCACAGCTTTTTTTTAAAGGTTTTTTGTTATGCTGAAAATAATTCCCTGCAGTGAATTCAAGCTAGAATAAATAAAAAGGAATCCTTAACTTTAATTTTTTACATTTTTTGAAATCTAAAACTGTTCTATAAAAAAAAATTATTTAACATTTATTCAACTTAAAATGAGATTTCATAACATAAAAATAAATCTCAGAAAAAATCTAAAATATTCTTTTAAACATGTATGGTTAAAAAATTCAAATAATACAAATAAAATAAATTCAAATAATTTAAATAAAAAATTAAAATTTTTATTTTTATTTTAAGCAGCATATGAAGGAGTAATATCAGTTGCCCGTAACTAATTTTTACACCTTTACTGAACTAAAAATCTTAAATATTCAGACCTAAAATTTTTTTGTCGACTCTAGTTCATTGTAAACATTAAAATTGAATGATGATGTTAAAATTTGTTATATTAAGCCCAAATTTACATGCATATTCATTGAGGCATAATTTAATATACATCTTTTTGTTATATTTATTTGCAATTTGAAATAGATTTAATTACAAAAATTCAAATGAAAGCTGGAATGCTATGGCTTTAAATGTAAAGCGATTCTAAATAAATAGCAACTAGGCACAACTGACATCAGTTTGTGATCAGCTAAAAAAGGAAAGTATGATTTTTTTTAAGTAAAAATAACTTGATAATTATTGTTTTGAGAGAAGTAATGAAATGTTTTCTAGGGGTTTCGAGTGATTCTGAATGCATTAAAAAAATTGAATGTAATTGTCCATTAAAATTTTTTTGTTATGTAGTATTAGTTCAATAATCTTTATTTCGTTTAAGTTAAATCTATTATTGGTTAAGATATTCAAAAAAAAAAAAAAAATTCTGCTAAAATTTGCTGTAAACTGTTTTTCATTCCATAATATTTTATTCTTTTTATTTGTTTAGAAATAAAAACTTGGAGGCGCTCTTTATATATTGAAGTCACTCGTTATGGAACATATTTAGGACTCTGTGTAGCTACTTTCATTATATTTCGACGACACATGTTCATTGCAAGTATTATAGGTATATTTGTAGCTGTGTATATTGGATTGTCTGAATATACTGTGGGTGAATGGGATAAGCGATCTTTAATAAAATCAATAAAATCACTCATAGTTTTATGATGATAAATATCTGATAATTAATAGCTTATTATTTGTTCTAATGAATATACATGAATATAATGAATATAGATTCTTTATTGTTTCTCTATTTAACTTATATTCACATTGAATATTAAATTTCCACTATATTCATGCTATCACTTTCATATAATTATTTGCATATGGATAATGTTTAATTGTTAGTTAGCTACAATTCATTATCTTTTAATATTCACTGACTAGTTTTTTTAAAGGTTGTCAACAAGTAAAATTATTAATTGAACCAATATTGTACTATGGTGAAAGTTGTAATTATGTAAGATCAGAATTTTATCCCAGATAGCGACTGAAGCCTGAACAACTTCAGATTGATGGGTACCATCTTGTTAGGGAAATGTAAGCAATTGATGTGCAATGCTGACCTTAAATGTTGCTTTTATTGTTAGTGGAAAATTATGGAACCTAAACCTCCATAACCCTGTTAGCAGTGGTGTACATAGACTTAGTTGCACCCCCATGCGAAAATTATAAATACACCCTATCTTAGACTGAAGACAATTTTTAAAAAATTATAATATGAGACAAGAACACTATGAAAAGACATTTGGGAATTCATAATAATTTGTTTTATTTTAATTTATATTAATTTATAGATTTTAATTTAAATTATTTTTATATGCATTAATAAAGAATTAATAATTATGATGAAAAGGTAGAATTTAGAAAAAGTACTAAATTAGAACATTGTATACACTTAATGAGTAACAACATTGAAATGAAATTTATCTTAATAATACAGGAAAATAACTAACTATCTTGCAATAATTATAATCAAAGTTTAGTTAAGGGTTATTTTTCTATAAAATGAATTGAAAAGTAATTTGTAAAGTATAAAAATATTTTAGAAAGTATAAAATTATTTTTATTGAAATTCATATTATGGGGTGCACAACTTTTTTGAATGAAGGATTATGTGCCAAAGTACTTATATATGTTGATGGCAGTTACGTTAACTTTAATGTAAACGTAAGTGTTTTAGACATAGTTCGTTTCATCAGTCGACTTAGTGATATATTTGCATTAAATTAAATTCCTTTAAATAATTATAATTTTTTTTAAAATCTTAATTCTTTTAATTAATTATTTTTCGTTTTATTGGCTAACTTGGTAATATATTTGCATAAAATTAAATTCTTTTAGACATTAAAAACTGAAGAAAACCAATCACGGGGGTTGCAGAGGTGTTATTTGCACCACTGGCTGTTAGCCAACAACTGGTTGTTGAAGTGGTTTGCTTCATAAATTTTTAAAAGTACTTGTTTTAAAACTATTGTCATGGATTAATGAACCTTTCATTGTAGTTGTATTGTATGTTTCAGAGAAACTAGTATATTTTAACTAACTAAATTATTTCAGATATGAACTTCATGACATAACTTATGTACTTCTAGAATTCATACTTATTTGTTAGGTTGAAGTTTAAGTGAAAAAATGTTTATATTCTTCTTCTAAAAATTATAATTTGTTCTTGTATATTTTGAGTTCCATAATATTTGTTATTAAAAATGCGGAATTATGTTTGATTTTATTTTGGTTTACATCACATTACATCTCACAATAAGTGTGAACTTTTTATTAATAAGAAATAAAACATTAAAAGTTTAAGATACTTATAAAAAATTTATGCTGTTTTTTTATTTCTAGATGTGTTAAAGTAATTATTTTAAATTAAGTATGTTATATAGCTAACTTTTACTCTTTTTGAAAATTTAAAATTTGTTTTTACGACACAGAAGAAAAAAAATGTTTTTCAGTGTTCTAATATGATTTAATCTCCAAGTGCATTTCTTATTATCTTCGAGTTTATTGATTTTGTATTTTTTTTAATTTTAAGTAATGATGACACTTATGATTTATATTGGATAAAAGCTTTTTTTATACTTTATTTAAATATTCCTCCTCACCTGAAAATATGCATTTAATTCACATCAGTAAAATACTTCTAGCATTTTTTATTCCTAAAGTCTCCTTGCCTTCTTCAGACTGTGCTTTTAGATTGTTATTTTTTATACTAAAGAAAGTATTGTTAAATGCAAAATCTTGCCCCTGCTCAACTGTTCCTAATCGTCTGGATGTATACATCTCAATATCTTGTTATCAAATGTTAAAATATTTTTTTGTTTTGAACAATTCATTATTTTTTAAAAAGACAATAATAATTTTATTTCACTGTTTTTCTTATTTCATAAAACCTACAATACTTATTATATAAAGAAGTTTTTTTTTTTAAAATTTGAAAATCGAGAATAGTCAATAAAGAATGGCAGAAACATTGAAATAAAAAAAAAAAATCCACAGGTTGAAATTTGAAAAAGAAATATCAGTTGAGGGAGCTTATTTGAAATTAGTTGAGTTAAATTTAAAGAAATACTGTAATATATCTAGAAATTAAGCATGGTAATAAATAGGTTATTAAAATTTATTAGATAGGGAAAAATGTAGAACATAGTAAATATTTTGTGTTATCGTTATGTTATGTGTAATATTTTTTTTACGTAGTAAACATCTCTTTATTATTATGCACTCTTTTAAAGATCTTTAAATTATCTGATAAAAATATTAAATTTTTTATTATAATAGTACTAATTTACTCCATATGTTTTTTTAAAACATCCAAAAATGTTTAAATATGAAAGAATAACTATAGAATTCTCAGACTTTTTCTATAATATAATCTTTATTATTAGGCGGTTTCTTTTCATTTCGTAATTTCAAATCTGGAGACAAAGAGGAATATCTAATACACTAATTCAGGGGTTCCCGAGCTCTTTAGTTGAGACCACCAATTTTGTAAAAAATGCTTTGAGGCTTATTAACTACTAAATATACAAGTAAAAAATGCAATGACAAATAGATACCTATATGTATGTGAATATATATATATATATGAATATATATATATATTCACATATATATTATATATGTATGTGAATATATAGTATATGTGAATATATATATTTTCATGAGACCTGAAAATTACCATGGGAAACTAAAATTTAAATGCGTTCAAATTTAATTACATTTTGACAAATGACTAAATATATGATTCGAAATTTAAATGCAATTTATTTAGTAAAGAAGAAAAACTTACATTACTTTGATAAAAAAATCTGTCATCTTTGTTTCTTTGCTCATTTTTTTATCTATAGGTATACAATGACTTTCCCAACAATTTCAATGCATCAATTTCTTTCTCGCTTTTTATGTTTTGGAAGAAGCTTTTCAGTCTTTGCAGCATAACTTCTGCTTCATTAAATAATAATGATTGATCTGAATATTTAGTGTTCATCACTATTAGGTTCCATATTTTCAAATTACCTCTTATTCTCAGAGCAATCAGAGGCACATCTTAGATTTGCAAATTCTCCATAAAGGCAGTATCAGGCTCAACATTCTGTTCTGAAATGCTGAACTGTCAGAACTGTTGTATGATTACCTTTTCTGAAACCTTCAACGATACTGTCTTTGGAATCTTTTTTCCAGACAGACGATAAAGCTTTTAACAATTTTTTTTCCTTTTGTGTTAGACATTTGAAGTTGTACAAGACTCAAACTCAGCCAGGGCCATTTTCACAAGCTGTAAGTCCAATTTCTTGCGAGCCATACACTGATCGATGAATAATATCTCTTTTTACTTTTGTACTCACATTTTTCTGTCAAATTCTAGTAGATATTCTCTGAGAATGACTTTGGTCACCCATGCTTTTTCATTTGATTTATACTTTGTTGGATATGTTTTGCCATTTTTAAAACAACGTGGGTTTTTGGAGTGGCCAATTACAAGGGGTTCAGTTTTTCGCTGCCATCCATGTTACGGCACAATAACACAGTAATTAATTTTTTTTACTATTTACCACCCTGACATTGTTCACCTTACACTATATATGACTTCACTGTTTATTCGGAAGATATTTAAAAAATAAACCTGTTTTATCTCCATTAAAAATATTCTTTGGAACATCGTTTTTAATTAAAGATGTCAAGGCTCTATTCCTCCACAGTCACGTCACTTACATCATTAATGCTTGCAAACTGCTTGCTGAGCGATATACTAAATTATGTCTCTTTTTAAGTCGATAAATTCTTCCAGATTAATATGAGATGAAATTTTACTAGATTTTTATTTTTAAATAGACCCATATGTACACAAGTTTTGCATATGGGAAGGTTTTCATAGTTTTAACTTTTTTAGCAACTTTTCCTAAAACATTGGATTTTGACTACAGTACCTAGCTGTTTGAGGATGATTTTGGTGGAAGTCCTTTAAAATTTTTACTTATTCAGTTTTTGTTTGTACAAACTGGACTAATATTTGGATAATATTTGCTTTGTCAGCTACTGAGAAATGTTTACATGTTGCAGCCAAGGTGATTTCACTGTAAATTAGAAGAATATATTTTGTACTTCAGGTCACCTTTCCACTGATATAAATATAACCCTCTCCTATTGTTTGAGGGACAGCATTCACTAAGCAATGAAAGAGGATGTGCATTTCTAGCACTTGTCAGTGCAATCACAATCTTCAAATATATCGGCCTAGTGCATTAAGGAATGTTCAACCTGCACTAAGTGGTGAGGTAAACAAAAGAATGATGCTCATGAAGAACAGAAAATGTATTTCTCTTCCTTCTCTTCCCTGACCTTCAGAATTACAAAATGACTATTACCCTAAATCCCTATACAAAGTGGAAGCTAAAAAAGGTGTTTCATCCAATTTCAAAGCGGAGGTTACTTTTCTTTAATTTATTAAAATCATTAATCATGTAATAGAATCATCCCAAAAAAATTGTATTAGACCTCAAGCTTTATTTTGGCTTAGACTAGAGACCAGAGTCCATGATCCAGTACTATGCTGTCCAAGGCCCATGAGTTTAGAACTGCTGCTCTAAATGATAAGCATTCAAATTATACAGTAACTTAACAAAATTGCTTGTTATTATAATCACGAGAACTATTCAAGTGCAAGAAGTTTTTAATTAAAAAATACTGTGTAATTATTCATAGTATATAATAAAAATGGTAAAACTTTGACATACATTATCAATTCATCATACCAATTAGTCAATTTTGTCATTAAATAGCACAAGTTACAAATAATTTAAATTTATTCCAATTTGTATCTGTAGTATTAAGCATTTTTTATGCCATGAGTATTTAACCTCTTGCGATCTACCCCCTACTTTTCTTTCTTAGTTGCTCTGCTGGTAGATAAATTTTCTAACTGCATCCTTGTACCTTATTTATTTTAAAATGGCTACGAATTATTCCTAATTTTTGAGTAGATTTAGTAAAACTATATATTTAAACTTAACTTTCACATAGCTTCCAACCTCTAGTTATAAAGGGGATAGTTATAAGGCAAAAGATACGGAAAAAATGCAGAAGATTCCCACTGCATACTAATAAATTTACAAAAAAAGCAGATTCCAATTATTTAGTTTTTCATAAATCACCTTTTTTTAAAACAAGAGAAAGAAAAAAAAAATTTACAAATATTTTTGACCAGCTACTTAATGGCACAATATACATTTATTAATTCTTGGTTTAAAGTTACAAAAGGGAATTATGTAATATTTTAATACTCATATTATCATTAGTTTTATTAGAGCATAATAGTATAAGTAAAAGGGAGCATCTGATGTGTTTGAAAACATGTTAAAATTGTAAAGTGATAAGTAAGCTAAAGACAATTAAAATTTTATCATTTGTCCCATAAAACTACTATATTTGGCACTGATTTTTTGACTACAGGTACTGTTCCTATATTTTTATTTGTTATTTATTTTTGCTGCAAATATTTTATAGTGTGATAGTGCTGTCAGGAATTTAAATGTTCTATTTTTTAACCATATTTATAATTTCTTCATATGTGGATACTCACTAGCATAAACTTAATTAACACATATTTTTGTTTATATTATGATTTATTAATTAATGTGACTGCTAAGATTTCGTACCATGTTAAATTTTTATTAACTATTTGTATTTGTTAATTTTTTGAAGATATTTAACATTTTTATTTAGCAAATTTGATTACTGCTTAATGGTTAATTTTTGCATACATAGTTTTCTAATTAATCGTCATTTTGTTGATTTTGTTGTTTGTAAGCAAGCGTAAAATTATATATTTTTTTCTTAACATTTTTTCTTTAATAATTTCTAATTTGCTGATTGTTGGCACAAAGATTTTGAGAAGTTTTTAAAAATTAGAAATAATTCATGTTTTGCCTAAATGTAAATATTTTGTTTTCTAAAATTACATTCTTCATTTAAAGTGTTAATGAAGTGGTTTTGTTATATTATAAAAATTAAGAAATTCCACTATTTTATCTTTTTTACTTTTAACATCTTATTTTTTGTGAAATGCTTAGTGTATATAATTATTTTTACAAACACAATTGTATTTTTGTAGCTGTACTGTTTATGTATTAAAATACATCAATTGAAAATTGCATTTTACTATTTATGCATTTTTTCTCTATAATTACTTCCATCACTCACATAAACGAACTATAAATGGTAAAAATGAAAATACTGCTTTACATTGACATTCTTTATTTGTTATTGAATGATATGGCAGAATTTTAACCCTAATCATAGTACTTTGATATATTTTCAGCAATTTTCATAAGGCCATAGTTGCTTTCTTAGAGTTTAAAAGCCACAATCCTATTAGTCCGGTGGGGGAAATAGGTATATGGGTGATTCTTTGGAAGCATGACAATTCGGAACAAAAAAATTATTCATATTTAAAATCTTCAAAATAATCTAAATTTTTTTTTGTGTATATTTATTTAGTTACATTTTTTCTATCTTACATACAGCAGTGTAGTTTATTGACATTTGCTCAAGAAAAAAAATATAATAGAAATTCACCAAATTTTGAATGCCAGGAAAATGACATATTATATATAAGTTAAAAAAACAGTCATTTTAAGCTAATAGTAAGTAACTTAACTTAAGCCTTTGCATTAGATGGATCATGAATTGCTTAACTTAATTCTTTTATCCACTGTAGAAAAAATCATAAATGTTTTTCTTGCTGATATGTGCAGAATAAAATTGTTTATAATAATCATTGATTAAATAAATAAATAACTTTGATTACATCCAAGCATNAAAACATTGATTACATTCAAGCATATTACAATCTTACATAAACTTGATATTAGGTTAACATTTGCTTTCTCTCTTTACATTAAACTATTTTAAAAAAATTTCTGGTAACTGTTTCAATGTCCTGGCATTCGTAAGCCAGGATAATGACAATTTGCCATTATATAGCATTTAACCTTACTTTAATTTAATATTTTGGCCTAAGATGTTTACATTCCGCAGAAAACAACAGGATTTCGTGAAATAACTCAGGTAACTCGATGTCGTTTATGTTATTAATGATTTCAAGAAGACAGGAAAATGACAACATAAGAACCTACTCACCTTGAAAATTTTTTGAAATAGGTTTTGAACCAGATAGTTGATTCTTTATTCATGCAATAAGACATGTTCAGATAGGATGGTATTCTAATGAATCTATTAACATAAGATATTGATTGCTGACGCTATCTATTTTGGTTATAAATCTCTAAATAAAACTAGCCAGGAAAATGAGATTTTCTTGTGACAAACAAATTATTAACAGAAAAAATTATTTTCAACAAAGTTTTTATTAATAATACCCTCTGCATATATTCTAGAAATGCTTACAATGGTTGAGATAAAAAAAAAATTAGATATCGAAAAATTTTTGGGAAGTTTTGAAGCTAGTTATTATATATAATTTTGCAATTTGTATATATTGTTTGTGACATACAGGGAAAATGAAATTTTGAAATTCAATTAAATTTTTTTAATATACGAAACAGTCAATTCTAGTACAAGGTCATTTTAAAATATTAACAGCAATGCTATCTATTAAACTTCAAAAAAAAAAAAAGAAGTCATTTTAGTAGTATGGTATTAGATCTTGGAGCAAGGGACTGTAAATTGTCGTATTTTGTAAGAATCACCCATGTGTTAAAAAACATCTACTTTCTCCTTTTAAGTTGAAATAATTTATTTAATATTTTTAGAGACATTTACTGGGATTGGGTAAGCATATTTATATCAGTTTTAGAAACTGATAAAAAATTTAATGTTTACAAACTATCTGGTCAACTTTTAAAGCTTGTTAGTTTAAGCTCTTGATGAACTTTCTTCTAATATCAATATCATTAAAAACTGCCAGAAACTATTAGTTTTAGTTCAAAATGGTAGAGGGACCTCTGAAGAATAGATCTACAGAGAAATTTAAGAATAGATTTCAAAATTCTATTTATTATGAATTGTTTTCTGAGGTGGAGTAAAGTGGGTATATGGTTAGGTTTAACTAAGTGTTATATGATAGGGATATTTTTTGCTTCTGTGTTAGCTTTTGAAAGTGTCTAATGCTCTATTTTATAATGAAATAGCTAAAAAAATAATTTACTTGTTTGTTTATAACTCTACGCCATAATTTTAACACAGAAAACATTACTTTTAAATTCTATTTTTTAAAAAGAATAATGATAGGAAATGACAACATAACAGACATAATACACAATTTAAAAAAAAATCCAAAATAGCATAACGGTACTGCTTATTAAGTATATTTAAAGATATAGATGAGTTGGGAAAGAAACAATCATGGAAAAGAAACAATTTTCTTGAAACAACTAAATTGAATAAAAATGTATGTCTGCTATAAATAGTGAAAACACTTTAAATTACCACTATAGATGTTAAGTTTAACATTCTCAATTATATTTCAAAGAAATCAAAAACTAATACAGTTTTCTTGCTTTTTGAAAATTGTGTAGAGTTCAACAAAATATACTGCATCCGAAGTGAAACCTAATTTTGATAGACATAAATATTAACTCTTTAATTTAAAATTACGAAGAAAAAAAAATTTTTTTTTAGCTTTTATTTTTTTTAAATGTAATCATGATACATCTATTTAAGAGCATTTTCATTCATAAAACAATATTTACATGTGTTTGTTAGTGAAATATATAGAAATTTTAGAACTATTCAAACTTTATCCCACTCTGGGGTAAAGTGGGTATATCAAAACATGTTCTTTGAAATGCATTACTGTGAGAAAACAATTAAACAAAATAAATAAGTTACGTTTCATATTTAATTTATATAAATCCAATGTATTTAAAAAGGATAAAAGTTTTCAGTAAAATGAATTTAATGGTTTGGTTTTAGAGTCTTAGTTAAAAAAAAGCTTGATTTTATGCCCATTTTACCCCACCTGACCCTACTTTGGAGAAATATTGTATTATGAATTTGGTTTCATATATTAGAAACTCTAATAATATTAATAAAAATTTCAAAATAATATAAGAACAATAGAAACTTTTTAGTTCTATTGTAGTTCAAATTTATTTCAATCTTATTGCATGAGTAAAAATTTATAGTAGCTTTATATATATATATTTTTTATTTGACATGTGACTAGCATTTTTATCATGTTTTGATGTCCATAAATTTATTATAAGTTTGTACTATTTAATAAAAAAGCATTTCAACTAATAAAGTTGTTAATATTTTTCTTAGTTATTTGCATCTCTTCTTACAAGTGTAACTAATTTCCTTATAAGTAAATTGTTTTTCTCTCTTAAAATTTAAGTCTCATTCAAAAGTTTTCTACCTCCCTTCTTTATTTTATCCTCCTTTTTTCTATTCTATCAATAAAGGTGTTTGCTCCTGTTTACAGAGTCCAGCTAACTAAAGAGTTATAAATTCAAATTATTTGATAATTATAAATAAATTGGATTTTTTCTAATCAGTTAAAGGAATTTATAAGTTATAACCCTTATATCAGAGATATAACTCCACTCATCTAATGATAATTGTATTTCAGAATTAATTGCTAACTTTCTATTCAAGCTTTTATTATTTTTCAGCAATTAATTCATAAACAGTAATATTATGGAAACAGTTTACAGTTAGTGGATATTTTAATAAAATTTAGGAGTTTTGTGTATTAAAGACTACAGGTTTGTGCAGTAATTAGGCCTTAGAGATTCATTTCTAATTTTGCAAAATTTTAAAACTGTATAGATCTTTTTTCCTTTAAGCCTTCAAGGACTAAACTATACTTCAGTTATATTGGTTGATGATATGTATACATCATATAATTATAAGTCACGTATAATGCATGTCAACAGAATTATATTTTTTAATAAGTCAAATTTTTTTATTTATTATTTTGCAAGAACTTTTTGAACTATTAGTTTCTCATTTTGGTTAATAGTTAAAAAAATTATGCAAATAGAAGAGAATTTTGTGTAACATTAAATTAAATTTTCTTCTATTATTTTTGTAT